AATTTTTTTATTGATCAATATTCATTAGCAAGTTTTTCATTACCATGCAATGAGATCCTATGTCAACAGAAATGCAATCTTTTCCTTTTTTTACCAAACCGAGGGACATCTGTTCTTTTATAAGCCTATGTAAACTGTCGGCACACAATGGTACAGTGCCTTCTTCCAAGTAGAAAACATTATTTCCCTAAGGTTCAGAGAAAATCTTCCAAAATGATTGAACAGAGAAATACTTACACAAAGGGTTTTTCAGCAGCTTCTCATTGTTGGTTCCAACATCAATCATGACGGGAAGCACCTATTGGAAAACCCCAGCAAGATTCTATTAAAAGTAATAGACAAATTCAACTAAAGTAAGGTGCTAGAATAACAAGTTAAGCAGAAGATGAAAACAAGTGACATCATTTTCAGAAATTGAAGAAAATAGAAGCAAACAGAGTAATGATACAATGTCAAACAACAACAACAACAACAACAACAAGAAGTGACCTGTAGAGACATAACATACCCTTTGAGGATTTATCCCAGCAGCAGCAACATATAAATCTAGCTTCCCAATTGCAATTCCGATTCCCTGAACTCCAAGATCCCCCAGACCCAATATCCGGCTTCCATCTGTGACAACAATCATATCAACCTGTAGTAAAGAGAAAGGGATTGTAAGAACAGTATTAAAACCTGCTAGATCTCTGTTTATGTTCATCTAAATGAGATAATTCCACAAAGAAGTCCTACATTATTAAAACCTGATAGGTTTCTGTTTATGTTCATCCAAATGACATAATTCCACAAAGAAGTTATACAGTTAACTGCATCACGTACAAGTAGTGCATACCTGCTCAGCCGGCCAGTTATAAACCATGGACATCATTTCTCCACGATCTGCAGCACTGAAATACATTCCTCTTGGCCTTCTAAACAGACCACTGTAATTTTGGCAAACAAGACCTACAGTTGGAGTATATACTATTGGAGCATATTCCTCAATATTGGCAATCAGAACCTGTTAAATCAGATCAAAGTTATGATCTCAAATAAAATTATTGGCTTAAGTAGACACCTACAAGGATGGTTGTACAGAATGTTGTTGACTGCTTTAAACAGAATGACATACATCTGATTGAACATCTAACCTTTGATTACAAAATGCAAATGACACTAAGAACAGATGTCAAAGAATTGGTTCTCTTAGCATGAACTTATGTCCATATACAACCTTGTAATGAATCTAACATCCTTTTTTATGATAAGCGACAGGAACCAACTGCCCTACTGAGTGTCATGAACCAGTCATAATATTTTGCAAAATGTATGCAGCATAACCTTTCTTATCACGACTAGAAGCTCTACCAAATTAATAAATTGACCCCAAAAGGTATAAAAAACCTATCAATTTATAAAAAATAAAAAAAAAATTAATAAAAATAAATGAACAGTTGAACAAGTGTCAGAAAATGTACTGATGGACAAATGCAGGTCAAAATAGGATAATCCAGATAGTGTAGACAGTAGAAAAAAGGATAGTCACCTTGTAGTACATTGTTTCATTTCTATCATGCAAGCGATTAAGGATGCGCCACTTAGCCAGATAATTTGGATCAGAAGGTCCATCTCTAGCATGCACTTCAAGCCTCTTCAAGTCAGCCACTGTGAATGAACAAAATTTTCCCCGTTTAAGATCAAGGAAGTAAAGAATCGCAATAAACATTTTAGTTCATATATGCTGTCTCAAATTGGAAGAAATACCCTAAATAAAAGAAACAAACACAAACTAGATGGTCAATTGCAATTTTATTCTGCAAAGTAGGATACAAGCCAGCACGAAGACCTTTATTTTTTATGAATTGATATGCGAACTCTCATGTAAAAGGTCAGGGCTGAAGTAGGACTTAATAAAAAATTAAAAAAAAAAAAAAAAAACTCTTACTGAAGCGTTCAATTTGCTGTTCAGGAGACATGACATTGGGAGGAAGAAGCCCCCGAAGATCGAGACGATCACGTTCTGTCATAGAAAACGCTGTTCCCTACACAATGTATTAAAGGAAAGACTCAACATCACTCACTGCAAAAAAAAGAAAATAAAAAGTATTAAATAGTTCGAGTTTTCAGAAAACGTTTTCAAAAATGAATCGATCGCAAGCAACTGAGTAAATCAATCTTTAATTTATAATTTTTTTTTTTCCGGACAGAATCAATGTTGAATTAAAAAAGCAGAAGGACAAGTGGCAGTTACCTTGTTGAACCAAGGGTCGTGGAGGATGTCAAGGCTTCGCTTATGGACAATGGTTGGGCGGTGGCCCTCGGTTGTGGTGAACGATCTACTAGTCTGCGTTAGAACATCCGGATTCGTCATTTTTTGCTTTAACCGATTGATGAGAGACGAAGATGCTCTGATCTGCTTAGAGAAGTTGGACATTATTTTCACTGTAAAAGGGATTGGAAGATAGATCAAGGTAAGAGACAAGACTGGAAACCCTAGTAGAAGAAGGAGAAGAAGAAGCAATAATGCTGAGCGAGTGAGGGAGCTTTGAAGTTGAGCGGTTAAAAACCAGTCCGAATATTTTTCTTTGTATTTCCCTCCTTGCCTCCTTGGTAACTTTTGTCGTCGAGTCAAACGTTATTTTAACGAAATGGCAGACTGCTGAATTCTCGCCAATCACCATGCAAGCTGCTTACATGACACGCTCGGAGCCGAGAGTTCCTCATGACTCCGCTTTGTTTTATTTTTCCTTTTTTTTTTTTTTTTTTTTACGCATTCGGAGCGAGAGTTCCCTCATGGACTCCGCTTTTTTTATTTTTCCTTTTTTTTTTGTTTTTGGTTTTTTGGCCTAGAAAAAAGAAATTTTCATACCATAAATCAATACAGATCAGGTTATCAGTGTTCAGCGAAACCAGCAAGCCCAGCCCAGAATATGCCCAATAACAATTGATAATTTTAACATTATTTTCAAGGACTGTATATCCGCAATTAGTAACACGGGATCCGCTGAAAAGATTAGAAAAATTTTCCTTTTTTTTTTTTTTTTTTTTGGTAAAAAAAAATTTTCATACCATAAATAAACAGATCAGGTTGGTCAGTGTCAGAACAGCAAGCCCCAGGCCCAGAATATGCCCAATAACATGATAATTTAAATTATTTTCAAGACTATAATCCGCAATTAAGTAACACGGATCCGGGCTGAAAGATTAAGAAAAAAATTTGTGGAAAGTAAAACGACAGAGCTCTATCCAAAGGATAATGTAAATGATTATTTTTTTTTTTAATGAAATGCAAACAATCTTGTATTAATTATAATCTGGTAATCAAATATAAATAATTTAGCAAATTTGCTTTCCTTGTTAATAAAAATAAGGAGAAGGCTAAATATTATTATAATTAGCTAGCTGATTAATACTAGAAAAGATCATCAATGGTTGTCGATACATGATGAGATTTCTAGACGAAGGGCTTATTCTATAATTGACTATGAAAATTTTGGCCCGTTTTATTGGCTTTAGATTCATCATATAGATTTTACAGTTTCCTTGGATATTTTCTTTCCTCTCTAAATTGATATCAAACACAATCGTATCACATGTTTGGAAGTTTACAAGTTGCAACAAAAACCCAATGCGTGATTGGCTGAGGCTGAGACTGAGACTGAGACTGACACTGTGATAAATTGAACATTAATCCTTCAAGTAATGAAATAAAATAATAATAACAATAATAATAATAATATATGAGGTACGTAATGGAGAAGAACACTAATTGGCATGGGTTTCCTTTAGATGCAATGCACAGCACAGCACAGCACACGTCGTTTGATAGTGGAGATGTCTCAAGAACTTAATATTATTAATTAAATAATTCATCATTTATTTGATAGTGCGCACTTATATATATATATATATATAGTTATAAATAAGTAGAGACCTCTGCTTTCAACATTTTATTTTGGATAAAATAAAAAAAATGGTTCATCAAGCAACTATTCCACCATCTTTTTTACCTTCCTTTTGCATAAGAATGCAGAGAGATGGATGATTTTAATTAATTTATTTATTTAAATTGTTTTGGTATCCAAAAATCCATTGGCCAAATAGTTCAGATTCATGTCTTGAAGTGGAATAAGACATATTTTTCTTTGAACTATTTGGACTCCATATTCAGTCGACAAATTACTTTTCATTTTATAATCCAGAATTTCAGTATTTATGTGTATATTTGACCTCTAAATCTAATAAAGAAAATCCACAGGCACAGCCGACCGTGGCAAAGGATAAATATATATATATATATATTGTTTGAGACGGTCAGAGCCATTTAATGGTTAATTGGTCAACCAAGAGAACAGGGTTTGGTTGCCACAATACCCACCACAAAGAATAAGCTTAAGGCCCAAGCCCAAGTCTGAAAGCTTGGTCCCAATTCAATTCATCGTCATTTGAATTAAATTAAACAAAGAAAAAGAAAGGCTACCCCCACACTATGGCGGAGCGCGTGCATGACTTTAGAAACTGACAAGCAGCCGTGTGATATAAAGCCCACATGATTGCCCTGCTACAGCGCCCACATGAGAGGACACCTAATTTTGTCCCCTTTTAACTGCTTTTACTTTTTGCACGCTCCCTGAAACAGCGCGTGATTACCAATCAAAAGCGCATTACTCCCAAGTATACATATATATATATATATATATATGGGTCAGTCAACGAAAACAAATAATTGCAAAGTAAAACACTCGAGTAAATGAGGAAAGAAAGATTCAAAATTTTCCAGTTTTTGAATCAAATAAAAGTTTAGTTTAGTTTAGGTTTAACTCAATCAAGAAATCAAATCCATTGCAATTGTGTTAGCCAATGATTAAACAAAATTTACAGCTAATTTAAATTCCAGTTATCGGTGACTTTCCGTTCTGGTAATTGCAACCAGATACGTGCCTTTTCGCATAATTTTTGTCACCAATTAGTTTCAGAGCCAGGGTAAATTATGAAAACGATACTTTATATTTTGTCATTTTGGTTTTGCCACACAGAAGAGGAAGGAGGGTATTCGTTTTTGTTTACTTTTTAATTTTGACTCACACCTTTACACACTCGACCATAAAAGACACCAACGCTACCCATTTAAACTCCGACACCCGAATACTCACTCTCTCCCAGGGGAAAATACAAACTCTCGTCTCTTTTTTCTGTTCTCTTCTTTTTTTAAATCCTTTTCCCAAATCTCATCCTTCTCTCTCTTTAAACTAAGAGCCACTGAGAATTAAGAATTAAGAACAAGACAAAGTCTCCCCTTTGATTTCCTCATCAGATCTCTTCGTCCTACTACACCCACGAAAAATGGCACAGGACAGCACCCTCTCCACATGAATGCCTTACTATTTTCTTCACAAACACTCACGCGATACATACCTAACATTTATACAATACATATCCACCAATAAATGAGGTGTAAGAAGCATCCTTGCGACCTCAGCAGCACCGTCGGCGTCTGCGCCTCCTGTCTCCGCGAACGCCTTCTTTCCCTTATCGCCGCACAGGCGCAGGTTCAACAGTCACAGCACCATCCGCAATTAGTTCGCGCTCACTCGCGCGCCGCTGTAGATGATAGCCGCAAGTCTGACGCCCGCCCACCTCCACTTATATTCCCTCGTTCCGTTTCCCCTTACGTCGCTCGCCGGAAATCGGACGACACGTCCATCTGGTCCCACCATTTCCGCTTCTACAGTACTCCTCAAGTGGGTCCCACTTACAACTCTGCCTCCACCGCGGCCGCCCCAGCCGCCTGTAAAACGAAGCAAGGTAGATTCTCCCTCCTCTCCAATCTTTTCCGCTCCAGATCCGAGAAATTTAATATCGATCCTGCTGGTTCCGGTACTGGGGTCCCTTCTCGGAATTCGAGCGAGGCATCTTCTTCTTCTCCTTCCTGGTTCTCTACCGTTTTGTCCCGTCGAAGGAAAAAGCAATCTGCGCTCTTCTCTGCAGAATATTCCACCGCTGTTGGCCATAAACCTCGGAGGAGAACAGATCGAGGAATGTCGCCGGCTGGAGGGCCCGATTCAGAGGACGAGTGCGAGGATTGCGACCGGTCTCCATCGGGCAGCGGGTCCTCTTCAGAGTCAACTCAGTGGTGGAAGAGAACACCTGTAGCGCCGGCGGCGGTGAGGCGCGGGAAGTCTGGGCAAGGCAAAAACATGTCGGGATTAGCATTTTGTTTGAGTCCTCTGGTGAGAGCCAGCCCCAACAGGCACTGGAACCAGAAAGGCGGACTGCCACCTGACATGGGGTTATCCGGCGAGGTCAGAGTTCCAGTGAAGCCCCATCTGTCGACGGCCGCGTCATTTTGCGCTAATAGGTCCAGGAAGCTTTGCGATTTTGGAAGAGTCAATCGCAACCGTTGAGAATGCGATTCGTTGACATTCGACTGCGGTGGTCGCTATAAAGTACGGTTTTGCCCCTTCTCAATTGCGGTCGGTCCTGTTATTATCATCATCATCATCATCATCATCGACGCTACATTTTTCTCTCTCTGTCTTTTTTTTTTTTTTTTTTTATTGCCGGTTCGGGTCTGTCAGTATCATCATACTCTTCCATCATTCATGCAGCAGACGCTACATATTTTCTTATTATCATCATCATCATCATCATCATCGACGCTACATTTTTCTCTCTCTGTTTTTTTTTTTTTTTTTTTGATAAATTAAATTATAAATGGAGGGGAAAAAAAATTAAATTCTTGGGTTGCTGTTCTGTGTACATTGGCACTGTTTGTTATTAGCACAAACGAAACATTTCGTTTATATATTTAGTTTTTTGGTTGTATAATTTGAGAGCACAGTGAAATGAGGTCTGTTTTCTTTTTTCATTTGATAATGATGACAAGGATAATAGAGAATTAGGTGATGATTTGATATTTGATAAATCTGTCATTCACAGATGTTTGTAGGTACTATCGGATCTTTGGTTCATTAAACCGATTATTAATAAATTTACATGACAGACAGAGACAACTGGAAGTGAAAATCCAGTGGAGACGAAGACAAATAGAAATGTAAAAAAAGAAGGCAGAAAAAAAGCAAAATCAAATAGAAATAAGTAGTAGTAGTAGTTGAAGCAAAGATGAATGGAGTAATGTAATGTAATGTAATGGTGGAGAGGAGTGGAACCAGAACAAGTACAATTAACAATGAGGTGGCATCGACTTCAGCCATTTTTGGTGGGTGGTGGAACCCCACCCCACTATGTTGTTGTTGTAGTAATGGCGGTGGGTGGGTAGGCGACTGTGCGAGCAATTCTCCCCCTTACAGTATTCCAAATCACGCCGAATTGCAATTGCAAAAGTCTACAGTTTTGTAAAATCTATGGTTAATGGGACCTGACCGACTGACTGACATAACCGAATCTACTTTCTCTTAATAACGGTCAGAAAGAAAAAGGTAAAGTACCTTCCTTCCTTCCTCTACCCTGTCCAGTTTGTTTTCCTAAAGTAGAGAGAGAATTTTAATCATTTTGGGGTTGTAACGTTTAAATTCTTAGGAATGCCCTATCTGGTAGTCTAGGAGAGTAGTAATAGTAAAGTAAGTGATGTTATTTGATTTGAACTGAATTAAAGGTTTCCCCTTTCTTTCTGCTCCAGCCAATTTAAATAAATTGCATTTGGTATTTAAATTTGTGAAAGAAAAATCAAAAATCGCATTTAATAATATAAATAGAAAGTAAAAAAGAGACATTAAATCCAAACTACTATATTGACTTTTTTATTTGTCCATTTATTTTTGCCAAACAGGAACCACACCGATCTTTCTCTTTCTTTCCAACTTTCCGGGTTACAGAGCATTTTCTTACTTGTTTCAAATGGAGCATCAATTTATTTAAAAAATAAAAAAGCTTCACTTTACTTGTCTAAATAAATAATAATGCCGTTTCTTCATGTATTATTGTAATTAAAATCTCTAAATTAATCAAAGTCTAGTCAATAATTAATTTAACAGCTTTATCATTATAATACATATCAGATTTTTTTTTTTTTTTACAAAAAAAAAAAAATCAATCTTATTTAAAAAATAAAAAAGCGTTGCACTTTTACTTGTCTAAATTACATAAATTAATTGTCTCGTTTCTTCTATGATATTTATGTAATGTAAAATCTCTAAATTAATCAAAAAGTCTAGTCAACTAATTGCAATTTCAAACAGCTGTTATTCGATTATTCAATACATATCACGATTTTTTTTTCTTTTTTTTACAAAAAAAACAAACAATACTATTAAGACAACATAAATTTTATATGGGTGAAAAAAATAGGCATTGTTTGTAGCCTAGAAATCTAAAGAAAATGGGGACATGGTTCAAAAAAAAAAAAAAAAAAAAAAAAAAAAAAAAAAAGAAAAAGAAAGGAAAGGACAGAATAGTTATGACCTATCCTGTTGGACCGATTCCAATAATTAAAAATGGACCACGATCACAGCATTAAATTTTGAAAAAAAAAGAAAAATTGGAAAAGTGGTGTGTTTCAACTTGAATACGTGATCTCTCACATTTTATGGATAGCTGTATGCTAAGCTGGATTTCATCATCTTGATAAAATCTCAGCAAAAAGATATTAATCTACAGAACAGGATATTAATATTATTATTTTTTCTGTATCTTAAACCCAAGAAAAGGAGAAGTTTTAAATCGAAAGTAAAATAGAAGGGCAATTAGTATTTGACAGTGATAGCAACGTACATTTAATTGAAAAAGAAAATGAAATGCATAAAAATCATTTATGGAGATGTCTCCATTATATTTCTTCTGTATGTTCACATTTATCGTTTTCTTTGATTTTTCTGGCCTATTATTTCTATTTTTCTAGAGAGAATTGACATCGATTCCCTCCTTGGGACAATTCTCACCTCAGAAAAATAGGAATGGGTTAAGAATAAGGTTGCCACGCCACCTTCTAGGCTTCTAATCTCAGAGAGAATGGCATTTTTCTTTTCTTTCTTCTTTAGTTTACCTTTACTTTCTCTCAAATTCTCGACCGTTGTTTGATATGTTCAAATTCAGATAATTCCAACCTTTTTGCAGCAGCATTATTAAGGTTTTATTTATTTATTAAAGCAAGGTTTTATTTATTCATTTATTTATTGAAACAAGGTCAGAGAGCATCCAATAGAATTTTTTAAAAGGGTGGTTCGATTATTGCTTGTATAAAAACAGTGTTTTTGAGTATAATTTATAGATGTTGATCCTTAAAATAAGACTGCAAATGGAAAAAAATAATCTAGATATCCAAACTTAAATGTAAAGAAGCTTACAAGGAAATGCCGTTTCAACGTTTAAGTAGCAATCATGTGACCTGGAATAGAATCATACGCACTAATTAACTTTAAAAGGCTTTTACGTGTCTTATTGGGTTAATATAAAAAAAAAAAAAAAAAAAAAAAAAAAAAAAAAAAAAAGACAACTGCAGCCAATTGAACAGGAGGATTTATACTTACTGCTTGTCTTTATCTCTTCAGTTTCAAAAATCAAAAAGGTATTTCCTTTTTCAACCCCAAGGCCTTTTAATAATTCCCCATCGGCGTTATGTTAAAAAAAAAAAAAAAAAAAAAAAAAAAAAAAGACAACTGCAGCAATTGAACAGGAGGATATACTTACTGCTTGTCTTTACTCTTCAGTTTCACAAATAAAAAGGTATTTTCCTTTTCAACCCCAACAGGCTTTAATAATTCCTCCATCAGGCGTAGTTTGCAGATTCACCGTACACGCTCAAAGAAATTTTGTCCCATATTACCTGAAACTTTTGCGGTTTTGCCGTTGCCCCTTTGTCTGAATACAAGACAGACATGACATTTAACTGTTAAGGGAAAACAAAAATCATCCAATTATTCAGAACCCAACAAGTAACAACTACGACTATACTATATACATATATATAATCATCATGGGTGTAGACACTACCTGGCAAACTAGCAGACTTCTGCCAGTAACATACTTCACTTGCCTTGGATTCTGAAATGTAAAAACCACCACTTAACAAATCACTATGCCAAGTCATCACCCTCTCGCTCCTTTCTTTTGACTATAAATATTACCTGAATTTGTTCAAGCTGTGGACGTTTAGTTTCTAGAATGGCTTTCTCGTATTACACAGCCCCACATTTCTTATCGATCAGCTTTAGGCCTTAAGCAACAGGAGCATGCTCCAAGCCAAAACGAAGCTTTCATCCGCACATTTCTGATCATCAGTTTTTAATCCCAATATTTAACCAAATGTTCTATTCACATACAATCAAAAGGATAAACTCAAGTTCTAAGATCCAACTCATACAATATCACAAAGTATTAGTCACTTCATGTGACGACATCCAAGTTATGATTGTCTGTACTGTAATTGGGCAACAGACTCATCAAATTGAGGCCTAACGTACCTTATAAATAAAACGGGTCTTAACAAAACAAATAAACTGGTAGCCTATGGCAGCATTACCAGTTCAAAACATGCGGCAAATTATTACCGAAGACCTCAACAAAGAATCACAAAGGGTATTGATACCAATTTCTAAGTTATCAACATAAAGAATCACGATGTGTCTCATTAGCATCATGTTGTGCTCTCCTCGCCTGAGAATCATCAAGATAATTCTGGTAGGTATAACAGCCAAAGCCCCAAAAAGCCATAAGCAACGCGATTATCTTCAGACCATTCATCTTGTCATGGAATACCAACACAGCAGCAATAGGTGATACAGCCAAGGCAAGAGTACTTATTACATTGGAGAACAGAGAAGATACCAATAAAATCAATCCTACAACACCAACAGAACAAACCTGCCAGCTCACTGCTGTCCAAAACAGGGTCATAATGTAAGACACTCTTCCATAACCAAAACCCTCCATTTCTGCATGCAAAGTCTTCCATTCCCCGCTGCCAAAAAGCCCGATGACAGAAACACAAGTAGCAACAAGCGATGTGTAAATTTGCATTTCTAATACCACAGAAAATGTTTCCTTTTTAATAATCTTTTGGAAGAACAATTGCATGAGTGAAAGCAGAAGAGAGTATATTGCTGAAGCACCGAGAGTGCAAAGGAAGCCAATGATGTATTTCCACTTAGAGACTCCTGCCGGACCATCTGAGTCATCATTGACTGCAATAAGTGCCGCAGAAAATGAAAGCACAACTACAGAGTTAAGAATTAAGGAAGTGAACTTCTGAGAATTGATAAAGTATGAGAAAACAGCGTTGAAAGCTAACTGGGATGCACAAATGAGAGAATATGTAGAGGCAGAGAGATACAATAATCCAGTAGAATACAGCATGTTATCACCAGCTATAAGTACTCCAAGAAAGAAATAGATCAAGGCAAGAGTTCTAATGGACGGCAAGGTGGCAGAGGTTGAAGACTCTTGGGAGGAAGAAAGTAAAAACAGAGGGATGTAAAGAATTGGGAAGGCAACAGTCTGAACAAGAGTTGCCATCCATTTACTATTTCCACCTTTGTCATAATAAAGTCGACCCAGAAGAACAGCAGCAGATTGGCCTACAACAAGGAAGAAAATATTGATTGCCACCACCAGCCACCACTGCCAGTTCTTGAGTTTCAGCAGTAGTGAGTTTGCAGTAGTATTTACATCCTTATTCAAAATTGGTTCTTGATTATCTGTAACAGGATGAATCAGGCAAACGATTTTCCAGAAAATAAAAATTATTAACATGGTCGAGAGTAGCAAGTAGCCAGAGAATTAAAATACAAACATGGGAAAATAAACAGATACGAAATTCATATATGTCCAGCCAAATGCTCCAAACACTTTATGATGAGCATTAGATTGCAAATTATCTGAAATTCTCTCGATTTTCAATTATATGGAATATGAAGCATAAAATATTATAATTGGATGAGACTGAGTAGCACATTCGTTCAATTCGAGATTGAAAAAATTTTATGCAGAATTTTCTAATAAAAATAATAAAAAAAAATACTGCAGCAGTTGCGAAGGCAAAACATATGTATAACAAAAGCAAGAACATATATATATATTCTTTGGGGTGGGGATAGCTAATACAGAATTCAAAATTCCAATTCACCAACGAAAAATAGAGAATCGAAATTGAATAATATCATAACGATAAACACCTACATGGCAACATAACACAACAAGTCTTGTTAAACCAGAAAAGAAAGACAAAAATGAAAAAGAATCGAGTAACATAGAAAAATACCTGCCATGTTTGGCTAAAATGGGAAGGAAACTGGAATTGGAAGATGAGAAGAAAAATCTACGAACATTTACGGAAGAACAAGGCATAAGCTGTAAAAGACGGTGCTGCACTTTCTACTATGACTTGTGCGCGCAGTTGGCAGGGAGGAGGCGGTTCACGGATCCAATTCTATTCCAGACCATATTCGAGGTACAATCCTCTGCCTCCACGAGGATTTTCTTGCACCGCAGGCAGAAGAATTGCGGTCAAAACCTAAAACCACCCAAATATGCCTTTCACTTTTTATTTTTCGATTCATTTAATTTAGTCCAATTTTTATTTATTTATTTTATAGTTAGCTCTTTAAAATTACTTTTTTATGAGTCGAGCTTGATTAGCTTTAATAATTTGCCTTGGCTTTTGCCACTTGAAAACTGTTGATAGTTGGTTGCCGTTCAATATATTCCCTTAGTAATAAAAACATGAATATTAAAATTTTTGTTGTGGCCCATCATGTCTTTTTCACATAAAATTTTTGAGCAAATTACCGAATGCCCCTATCAGTATATATATATATATATATATATATATGAATATTAAAATATTTGTGTGGCCATCATGTCTTTTTCACATAAAATTTGAGCAAATTACCCGAATGCCCCTAATCAGTAAGTATATATATTATATATCATATATTATATAAATAAACTGTCACAAGCCCAAACCCTTATCGACAAACAAACGTGAGAGGCACCTTGCAACAGAGACGCATATATATATATATATATATATATAAACTGTCACTAAGCAAAACACCTTATCGACGTGGGGCACCTTGCAACAGAGACGCACCAGACAATAGTGCTCCACAGCAAGTAAAACTCAACTGTAACATTTTCAGTTATAAAACCAAATTTAAATCTAACAGAAGATTTTCACAGTTCTTACTTCTAGTTCCACAAGAACCACATTTATAAAACAAGCTTAGGACTAGCCTAACTATTATATGGTCTCCTCTTGACATGGCAAGATCTCTTAACAATGAGACAAAGCCAAATACAGAATGCTACAAGAAAAGGGTCACAAACTTTACATGTGTAGGATCACATAAGCATTTAAGGAAATGCTGTAAAAAAGAAAAGCTTAGTTCTCAATTGTGTGTATCAACAGGCACATCCTCCAGACTGTGCTTGAGACTGCGATGCATTTGCATTGGAAGACTTCAGATTGACATCCACCATGTCCTCCTGCTTAGTTGAAGAAAGTGTTTCCATTCCCGGTAAGGCTGCTGCAATCTTCCGGAACAGTGCCTGGCAAGAGATAATGAAAAGAAAATGTCAATGTTTGAGTGTTACAATCCACACTGTCACTTTCCCGTTCAATTCCATATTCAATATGCAAGTAAAAATAAAAAATAAAAAACTATCAGCTTAGCGACAAATTTCAATTTGGAACATATAACTTGTGCTCCCAATCGAAGCAGAAGCAGTTACCTTTATATTGAAGCCAGCCTTTGCACTAGTTTCGATAAACATGACATTGAGGTCACGAGCTTTAGCTTCTCCTTCCTCTATTGAAACTTGCCTGCCAAACAAGTAATAAGATGCCAAACACGAGCATAAAATTATACACTAAAAGACAGAATTTTCTTTTTTCAAAATAAAAGGAAAAGATTCCACTTCTCAAAATGAAGTGATATGATTATTATTAAACCATATTTACAACTATGCATTTTCTTAGAACCATGCTGCACTATTGATCTTTCTAAGCACCAAAATGGAGCAGGAAACAATCCAATCAGCTAATTTCACATTAAACTCCAACAAATGAACAAAATTTGATTCATCACCTTTTGTCCACCAGGTCGGTCTTATTCCCAACAAGCACAATGATGACATCACTGCCCCGCTCAGTACGAACCTCTTCGATCCACTTTGAAGTGTTCAGGAATGACTGCCTACCTAAATCACAAGAAAATGTTTGCTTAGCAAATTTCAACAAGCATAAAGCATAAAGCCACCAGGCCCAACTAGTTTGGGGACTAAGGCTTTGTTGTTGTTATTGTTGTTATATAGCACAAAGCCACATCAAAAGTAAATTATCCAACCTAGGAAATTTAATGAACAAGAAACAATAGTTGATAAGAGATACTAGACTATGCTCATGAATCTCAGTAAAGCATAAACTATATACCTACATGTGATTAACTTAATTTTCTGCAAGTAGACGAGCATGAAAGAGTAGAGAGAGTTAGCAAAAAGAAAGCCCATAACAGAGAAAGAAACAAAAGGAAAGACCACATACTTGCAACATCATAAACAATGACAGCTACAGAGGAATCCCTAATGTAGCTTGGAATAAGGCTTCTGAACCTTTCTTGACCAGCAGTGTCCCTGTGGTACATGTCAATTTCATATTTCATACATGGAAATTATAATGCACAGAGGATCCAAGAATTTCAATTAACTATAAAACAAATTATGAATACAAAAGTTTACCAAGCAATGAAAGCTTTTATTACTATCATATATGTGAAAAACATAGAGGTTTTTGAATCGTCAAGCATGCAGAAAATGAACAGAATATAGTGTATAATATTTAACATCCTTGGCAATTTACATGACTATGCTGACAACAATATGCATACCAAACTGCCAGGAATATCTCCTATGATTAGTAAGAAACACCATGTTTCCCATCCAACCAAGAAACAAGTTACTGTATCCTACGCTTTCGTATTTCCCATAAAAGTACAGCAACCTGAAGACAATCTCTATACAATTTACAAAGGCAATAAATTCAGCTTTGCCCTGGGTTGGGTATTACAAAAGAAACTGCTAATTCAGAATGGTATAGTTACAGCCAGAAGCAGATCTTCTCAAGGACCAAACCTTTTTTTTTTTTTGTCTTTCAATGTTTAAAGGTTATATATACATATAACCAACTAGCTATATTACAAACACAGATTGTTCAACAACTAGCTGCGTTCCAAACCCAAATTCCCAACCCCCCTCCCCACCCCAAAAAAAAAAAAAAAAAAAAAAAAATCAACAACTAGCTGCGTTCCAAACCAAATTCCCAACCCCCCTCCCCACTCCCAAAAAAAAAAAAAAAAAAAAAAAAGTTTGGTCCAAAGTCCGATCAATCTATTTTTATCGCATTCTTTAATCAAACCAAGGATATAAAAAAACAGAAAAAAGCAGATTTGAATTCGTTTTTCGATCCTTATAGTCCTCTCTAATATAGAAATAATTGCATGTCACGTTGCGGATATTTGCCAAACATTAATCACTGTCACCAAAGAAACCAATAGCCCATGCATTGCGTTTCACACTCCATAGCATAATACCAAGTAATCAGCATCACTGCATTCAACAATTTCCACATACACGATGCTTATTATCGAGGGTGCTCAGAAAAATGCAAAACACACAAAAAAAAAAAAAAAAAAAAAAAGTTTGGTCCAAAGTCCGATCAATCTATTTTTATGCATTCTTTAATCAACCAAAGGATAAAAAACAGAAAAAGCAGATTTGAATTCGTTTTCTGATCCTTATAGTCCTTCTAATATGAAATAATTGCATGTCACGTGGGATTTTGCAAACATAATCACTGTCACCAAAGAAACCAATAGCCCATGCATGCGTCACACTCCATAGCATAATACCAAGTATCAGCATCACTGCATTAACAATTTCACATACACATGCTTATATGAGGGTTGCTCAGAAAATGCAAACACACAAACATATATCTCAAGACAACTTCATGCGGTCTCTTCATCATCATGCTAGGGATATTTGAGATAAAAATAGGTCTGCTCAAATTAAAAGGGGAAAACAAATAATTGTATGTGTGTGTATCTACATTGTAATGATATAAAGACCTCACCAGAGTTGCAATCTAACAGTTCGATCTTCAAGGTACATTGTCTTTGATAGAAAATCGATACCAATCGTTGCCTGGTTATCAAGTAAAGGCAAACATAAGCTTGGAGCACGAAGAACTGATTAAGCGGTGAAGGAAGCAGAAAAGCATAATGAATTTTATAAAATAAGTTTAAAATGAATGAGGTTCACATGAACATGTGAAAAAAAATAATTTTATAAAATAAGCTATGTTAGTGTGAAAAAAAATGCTCGATAAGTGTAAGGCACTGAAGATCAGTAGCTCATCATCACCATCAACAAGCAAAGATTGCCCGATCGACTGTGGTGTAAAACAAGTGAAAATGCCCAGCTTCTAGGTTTATTAGAAGTTTTTCTTATTAGCAATAAAGTGTTGAAATAATTTTGGAGTTTTCACATGAAGTCCTCACTAGCTGGCTTCAAGGCAATTCCACCAAAATATTTAATGAAAAGGCTTTGTAGGACAGTCCACTTGAAAACCAGATCAAATAAACGCGAAATGAGATCAGATAAATCTAAAATAGAGAACAAGAATCCAAGTAATTATCAAAAATTACATTGGAACAAATGGCCTAATAATTTAATAACATAAAAAAGATGAAATGAGATCCATCCATAACCAAAGCCAGCTCTCCAATCAAACGGATCGATGTTTTCTTTTTCAAACATTACCTGGTAAGTGTTGTCGAATTTGTCGTACATAAAACGAGTGATGATACTGGTTTTACCCACAGATTGATCACCTAAGAACACCAGCTTGTACTTGGCTAGTGCCGAAACTGGAGCCATTATGCGGATCTAAACAAGGATCAGATCAAGCTGGTAGCCGAAGTCGAGATCTCGCCGAGAATTTATCGACGATATCGCCGGGTCGATCGCCGAGATAGCGAAATCGGAGAACACTGTCCGATATTTTTCTGTTATTTATATTTTAGAATTATGAGAGAGAGAGAGAGAGAGAGAGAGAGAGAGAGAGGACTACTGGGCTACTATGGTCAGGCAAGTGAGCTGGAAGTTGCGGGCTTCCGGCTTTGCGCGTTATATGTTTCGAAAAAAAAAACAAATAGAGAGACTACCACGTCACTACTTCTTAGTTCGTGCCGATCCCAAACAGTGGCGACGAATTTGCACTCCTAGAGGCCGGAGAGGGCTTCGATCCGGCCCATAAAACTGTAACTGTGTTACTTTGCTGATGAATTTTTTATCTGCCGATCCAATTAAATCATATGTGTATATATATTGATATATTATATGAAAACATCATACTAATATCTATAAATAAATGAAGAGTATTTTGCAAGCTTAATTGAATATTTAATTTTATTTTTAATAATAATTAAGTCCAATTATCAGATTATATTTTAATATAGTAATTTTAAAATTTAAATTGGATGAAAATAAAGTACTATCAACTTTGAGTATTGAGTTTCTGAGTCAATGCAACACCAACTTGAACTCAGTAAGTGTATGAACTTTGTACTATGTTATAAAATTAATTACACCATCACATACTTTCTTGTATGGAATTATTTACAGCGGAATGTATAATTTTTCTTCCAAATTATTTTTAAATTATCATTTATGCTCCTCAACTTTGCAGGAGATCACTTGCACCCTTTAAATTGTGTTTTTTTGTAGCTTTTTATACCCTTGAGCAAATTGAAGATTTTATGTGAAATACACTCGCATTGACATGTCATAAATAATTAATTTGTCATTAATTTATCTGCTACGTTGGTCTCACGTGTACAAGAAATAACAGAAAAGAAAAAAGAAAAAAAGAGAAAAACGAAAAAATAAATGAAAAGAAAAATCTTAACTCCTTTTTGCCATAAACAGAAATCCCAAACTGAAAGGAAAATCAAAAAAATCTCGCACCTCCATTTCGTTGAAATCTCTTTCTCTCACAAAATACAATTATGTTTTATCTCCATTGTTCTTTTCTAGAATTAAAAAAAAAAGAAATATAAGAACATAAAAATAACATAAAATCGGATTCAAAAACACAAACAAATTTAAAATTTCAAATTAAAAAGAGTTTTCTTTGATGAAATCGATGCTAAATGTGAGGTAAAAGATCTCCTATAATACCAACAACACAATCTAGATACTATTGATACCCAAAATCAAATCAAGAAAAAAATAAAAATTGAAAAAAAAATCTTACAAGTCTATTTTAGTAGTTTCAATTTCATTAACCATAAAATCATTGGAAAATGTTGGTTTGGTTTTGATTATAGCGAAACAGAGAAGAAAAAAGAGAAAAAGGAGAAGGAGGAGGAGGATGAGAAGATCTATTCCGAGAATGAGAAAGAGAAAAATAGAGAGAGAAAATAAGAAAAGAAGAAGAAGAAAAAGAAAAAGATAAATTCGTTGAGAGAATGAGAAGGACAAAAATAAATAGAGAAACTAAAAAAGAAGAAGAAGAAGAACTGAGATAGAGAGAGAAATTGATAGAGAGGATAAAAGATGAAGTTAAAATGATTTTAATAATGTAAAACAATGTCCGGATTTATACTTTTATCTGCACCTGAGTTCACGCGACTCTTTTATAGCGTGTTAAGGGATGCTAAAGCTATAAAAAAACTCAATTTCAGGGGTATAATCAGTTTTCTATAAAATTGAGAGGCATAAATGACAATTTGAAAAAAAAAAAAAAAGGAAAATTATGCTTTTGGTCCCTGATTTATCATTAGTATTATTTACTTTAATCTGTTACTAAAAGACGATGTGTCATTTGGAAAACTATTCCAGCGTTTTGTAAAATGCGAACGAAGGAAATGAAGGCACGTGCATAATCCGTGATTATACAGTTCGCTACCCTTAACAACTCGCCAGATCATTACTGCGAGCCTGCTACTGCGAGTGCCCAAATCGACCAAGCCGAGGCGAGAGAGAGAGAGAGAGAGATGGCATTGAGAGCTGCCCTACTTCGCCATGTGCGGATACCTGTACAAACGCTAACCCTAGCCGGCCATAAATCTCAGCCGTGGAGCTTATGCATTTCCAGTCGGTTAATGTCATCGCACGACGACCATCTGACCAAGGAACAGGTCATCGATAGAGTCCTCGATGTGGTTAAGAGTTTCCCCAAGGTCGATCCATCCAAGGTCTGTCCAGTTATCGCCCCTCTCTTCTAATTTTCACCCCATTTTTGTTTATTTTCCAATTCCTATTTGATTCCGTTGAAATGTGACAACAGAAATTAGAACGATTATCTTAGATACACATACTAATTGGAGCCTTAAATTGATTAGGTATTTGATTTGACTGGGTCTTTTGTGTGATATATTTCACTAACTTGTATGAAGCTGATAACATCAAATTTGAAGGATTCCTTTTCTGTCGCATTGGAAACAGAAATTTCGTTGTTTAGTTCATGCTATTACTTTTTCTCACTTTCAGCTACCGAGATTGAGTTTTCTGCTCCTCTGAATGCAAAAGTGGAAAAGGACTTTATTTTTCCTCGAGTCTATGAATAAACACTGATTTTTTTTAGGTTAAATCTCATTTCTATATATTTTTGAATTGAAAACTAGCAATTAACTGTCCTTTTTTTTTTTTCCTTTTTGAAGTTTGCTTTCTCTATTTGGTTTCATCCCTAGAATGCTTGTTATGAATAATTATTGTGAGACAGATGGCCCAACAAAGATGTGATTGGGAAAAATTAGAATTGGATTATGGATGTGATAAATTATATTGAAATAATGGATTTTGGAAAGATGAAAGTTCTTGAAATGATTAAGGTTTTTGTAAAGTTGAGGATCAATTGTATAGGTGGTTAGGTCAAGTTAACAGGTTGGCTGAAACAAAAATCATCAATTTAATAAGGATGGCTCATAAATTATTTATGGTTCTTTGGTACTACTAGAGAGGGTTGACACCTTAGAAACTTCTTTAGTTTCAATGCAGAAGACTGCAGGTAAATTTTACATGGCCAAGTAGTTGGACTTGGATTCATGTTTTCTTGCACAGTTGAACAGTAGAGACACTCGATGAGGTAAAATGTGTTCTGCATTTTGATACTCTTATGTGTTAAGAAAAAAAAAAAGAGGCACTTAGAGGGTTGTACTTCCTTGTTTGCCTGAATAATATGAGCATAACTAATCTGATGTTAGTTATTAAGTTTCACAAGTTTAAGAGAATTGCGATATGATATAAATAGATCCCATTCAGTATGCAAAAATTTTGAATGTTATATTTCTTCCTAAATCTGTGGAATGCATACCACCCACACCAACACCTCGCCCCCCGCCCAAAAAAAAAAAAAACCTTTTGTTTGAATGAAAAATATGCATTAGTAGCAATGGTGTAAGATTTTCTTAAAGCATTTGGATGTAGCAGTGGCAAAGGGTCACGGTTGGGCCATAAGCTCTTCTTCTTCTTTCTTCTCTTTCTCCCTCTCATTCACAGTTTAGCTGTTGTTTGAAATGTTACTTTGCCCTTTTTAGTATTTTGATTTCTTTATAAATTCCCTCGGTTGAGTTTAACAAATGCAAAGATTGTCTTATTAAATTTTGGCTTAGCTTTTATGCTAATTGATGCCTTTGTTAACTGGAAAACCCAGCATCTTAGTCAAACTTACTGAGATTTGTACTACAATTATTTGCAGGTGAGTCCTGATGTACATTTCCAGAAGGATCTGGGTTTGGATAGCTTGGACAATGTAGAGATTATAATGGCTATAGAAGAGGAGTTCAAGCTGGAAATTCCAGACAAGGAAGCAGTTAAGATTGACTCCTGTAATCTTGCTATTGAGTATGTGTATAACCATCCAATGGCTGCTTGATATGGGGATGGGATTTGTTGCCCTGGATTTTGAGGAAAGCGGTGATTTTATTAGTTCATGTTTGACTTGTTTGGTGTCTGAATGAGTTTCATCCGCTGTACTGGGTTGGAAAATAATCTGAATATGTTTGATAAGAGTACCATTGACAGAACTAGCATGATGTTTTTTTACTTTGGAATTCTTATGATACAACACCATCTATATTCACAGGGTGCTTAGGTTTTCCTTGCAGCTTCGTCTCCCTCTATCTACTTAGTGTGGATTGTTTTTGATTGCTGACTTGGCCCGTACCATATGCAGTAAATGAAAGCACTTTCAATCCTATGACTGCCATAATCACGATAATGAGACTAATAAATGTTTTCTAAATGAGTAGTCATTGAGAAACATGTAATTATTATAAGGTTATAGGGACACAATCTCGAATTATTAAGTACCATGGAGATGTGCAAATATCTAAATGGTTTAAGCATCCAAAATTTTTTGGGCTCTTGTTTACACGGAAATGGCTAGGCGTCCGTGATGAAGTTGTCAATGGCCTTGTTTCGGACCCGTCCTCGCTCCTCCTCCTCTTCTTCTTTTTGGTTAATCGCAGCAAAGGAACCTACTTTCTCTCACGTCTCAAGTCAGAGGTTGAGCGTCCATTTCTTTAACCCGTCTCAGGTCAAGATCTAGTGCGGTATAAGATGATTGTCACGTTGAATTAATCCAAGAATTATACATGTTTTGGTTAACCTTTGTCCTGTTTTTATCACGGATATGTGGATGCGGTCACATCAGTTACCCTTCATTCCTGCGGAAGGACATATTTTTCATTTCTGCAGCGTGAGCACATGACTAAGAACAGAGCCAGTCTTTTCTTTACTGGATAAGTTGGATAGGCATCGGGTTATTTTCAAATCAGTTCCGTGGAGGCATTTCATCGCTGGAGACAAATACTTGTCGCAGGTGCATCTATTCCGCATTGGCTCATCTTGTCGTTTTAGGGACGTTACTCTTTCTACTTTTGCTTCTAAATACAGCAATGCGGTTTTATTTTTATTTATTTATTTATTATTTCAGTGTCATTGTAATATATGGAAGAAACGAAATTAACAAATATGACATCGAGACGAAGACAAATTTTTTTTTTTTTATGTCATTAATAAGCAAATAGTTTATGGAACCCAATACATTTGAGAAAAAGCAAACAGGACAAATGAATCAATGGAGCATATTGATGATTGAAAGTGCTATAGCAGACAACTGGAGTGCATCGTTATTCCTTCCTGTTAAAGGTGAAGTTACAGCTCTTTCTTTGAACCCTTGTTCACAAGTGGTAGAGGCATCGATAACTGAACTGACTTCAATATTGGCATCTTCGTAATGCTTAGATTTATAGTCTTGAATGGCTTGTTTAAGAGTAGGGATTGCATCTGAATAAAGATCGAGGCAATCATTTAAGCAAGGCCTTATGTTGGGGTCCAATCTTTTATTTTTCAAAAGCTCCTTAACGTAGTGCCTTGTGCTGGTGATGTTTCGCCGTGTTAGCTTGATGGAGATGATGCCCAGTTCGCCAAGATTAGCGCAGCGGCTCTCAGGAGATGCTTCAAGGGAACTCACACAGAATTTGTACCCGATGTTTGGATCCCTCTGGGCACATTTCTTGCAAGTTTCTTGAATTAGATTAGTTGCAGTTAAGCCGTGGAAGGTGAAGAGTAGGAGGGCAGAAAGATAAGACAACCGTGAATTCATTTTGTTTTTCCAACAACAACTAATTTTTTTTATGTTGTGTGTTTTTTATAGGGAAGGGAGTATATATTTTTTGGTGGGAAATAAGAGTTGATTGTATAACCTTAATTTTTATTATTTTTAAAGGAAATGAAAAAGAAAGAAAATATCAAAATCCTCAGTTTTCTGTAACAGGAGACAGATAGGCTTTTCTAGCTTCTCAGAACACTGAACACATCATTCCTTTTTTTGGACTGCAATGTTTCTGTACGTAATCGTCAAGTTTTTTAGTGCAAGAATCTTGCTTAGTTGCTTATGCTTGAGTTGAGGTTTATACGAATTCACCAAGTCTAATATATTTCCTCTATTAATCCCATCTTAGCTTACAAGTAACCCATACGCTCTATTTTTCGCTTTCTCCGTCTCTGTCACTGTACTACTCCACACTACATTCTATTCTCTCCAAAATAAATAATAAAACTCGTCGTTTGGGCTTCGTTTCTGTTGGGTTAAATCTATAAAAGGATTGGGAAAACGGCCCAACATCACTGGGCCTTCAATTGTTTTCATCGTGCTCTTCTCACCATCTCCGATTTTCAAAAAACGAGACAAAGACAGATAAGGAAAACCTCAGCATCCTCAAGCAGGACAGGACGGCCGGAGTTCACACAGAAAATGGCCAACCTCAGGACGGCTATAGACTCAGCGTTCTGGGATCAGCCCGTTTCTTCTCCAATAACCCTAGAAGGTTGTGCCCGTTCCATCCCCGGCGAGCCATTCCCTCTCGACGCCACTCGAGCTAGCCGAGCCCTTAGGATTCAACAGCTTTCCCTCTTAGGAAATGGCTTTCCTCTCGGTATCATTCCCTCTTATTCTCCTCCTTCTCACAAGGACCTCGGTTCTTTCTCTCTCCAGTCTGTCTTGCTTAAGCTTGCTACTCCTGACTGGTAAGTTCTGCTTCTCCAATTCTTTATTATTATTATTATTATTATTTTTGGGGGGTTGATAACCAGCTAGCTAGTGAGGGGAATATTTAGAAATTGAAATGGCGTTCCTTCGATTATAGAGAAGATCCTAACAGGTTTTAAACGGGAACGTTTTTTCTACAGTTGGCTTGCATTAGTCGGGCAGCTTCGACCAAAGAAATTGATTTCTTCTATCAAAGCAGAATTCGCTAATGCTGAGGAACTTGAATTCTCGGTATTCAGAGATGCGGCCAGACATATTCTGGACAAGTCTCTTTATTCTCTCGGTTTATCCGCACAGTTTTCTCCGACTCCCTCAACTTCTGTGTTGCTGACCACAGAACGACATGGTGAGAAGAAGAGACCTCGCTACAAAATGATGCTCTTTCAACAGGCATGCATTTCCCATTTCATTCATCTTCATATGTTTCTTTCATTTCTGCAAAACATGTCCGATTTCTCGCTTGCAGATAATTAGGAATTTTTTTCCCTACTCTATGATTATGTAACAGAAGCTGGAATGCGAACTGTTTTTGCTATGCCTCTGTTTCTTTGCAATGCAAAAATGCCTTGTACATTAGCTTAAACCTTTGCAGATGGATCCAGGATGCTCCGCTTTACAGATTATTTTGCTGTGTACTTGTTCAGAAATTCATCTTAAATTTGCTATTTTGTGTTGCTTTTGACATCGTTGTTGAGCCAATATGGAACCGGTGGAAGGGGGGTTGTTTGGAGCCAATATGGAACCGGTGGGAAGGGGGGGAGTGGGTAGAATGTATTAGCGTCTTTAGTTTGATTAATTCAATGAAAGTGATCTAAAAAAAGTTCATAATTTGATTCTTAGCTTTATTGCTTGTTCTGGAAATTCCTTGTTTAAGTTTCACTTGTGCACTTAGATTTGTAAGGGGGGGGGGGGGGGGGGGGAGGAATGTTATTAGGTCTTTAGTTGATAATCAATGAAAGTGATCTAAAAGTTCATAATGATTCTTACTTATTGTTTCTGGAATTCCTTGTAAGTTTCACTTTGTGATGATTTGTAATGCCCTTGGACTTATTGTTATTTTGCAGCTTCCTTCTCATGATATCACTTTGGAGGCTGCATGGCCTGAGCTGTTTATTGACCATAAGGGAAGATACTGGGATGTTCCCGAGTCAATATCCTTAGATATGTCTTCCCTTCCCTCTGAATCTGGCTTCCGGTACCGTTTTGGTATACACAAAAACAGTGGTCACCCCAAGGCTGTTAATGCTGTTAATGGTGAGCCACCTCTTGCTTTAATTCCTGGATTGTGTGGAAAGGCAGCCTTTTCTTATGAGAAGAGCAAGGATCTTTGGAGGAAGAAACAGACGAAGAAGGACATCATGGTAAAGACAGATGAGGGTTGGATTTTGCGTACTTCCTATGATGTGCGTCTTAGTGAACCTCATGCAACAATTTCTGGAATTATTGGTAATGTTGCTGCACTGCAGAGTAGACCTTGTTGTTAGAAATTAGCATGGAAATTGTTTTCATTCTTTTCTGATGAATTTTCGTTTTATTATTTTGCAACTGTGCTACATCATTTCTTTCTCCCAAGTCCCAATAACCTGCTTTGATGGGACCATAGTTGGAGAATTACCTTTCTTCTGATCGAGATGATGATGCTCTATTTGACAGTCTAATCACTGGATCCGCATGAGTTTTACTCATATTTGAGACAAATCAAATACATGTCAGACTTCTGTGTGTTTTAATTTGATGCTTTGTTTCATGTCTTGTTGCTAGCTATTTATCGCTTGTTTATATGCATTAGGTGGCACCTGTGCAACCTGGTTTGGGGGTGGATGGAGCTCCGCATCCACAGATGGGGACCTTTCAACCAGTTCAAGGAAGAGAGATCCATTAAACGCAGATTTGTTTGGCTCAGTTTGCTATACTTTCCAACATGGGAGGTTTGCAAAACTATATGGTGACCTAACTCGGGTGGATGCTCGCCTGGATATCTGCTCGGTGCTTGCCCTTACCAAAAGGACATTCAATATTTTCAGGAAGTCTTCAGTTAGTAGTGCAGATGATCCGATGTCATGTCCCAAGCTCAATTTGACCCTTCAACAGCAGGTACTTTTTGTTTCTTAATTTGTTTTTGTTTTTAGTCTTTTATGCATTGAAAACTAAAACTAGATTAATAATTCGCAAAGGGTGGTATCTTTTTGGCTGATACATTTGTGATATGATGTTGGGAAAACTATAGCTCAAAAGTTAGTAGTTGAGGTTGGAGAGTCCAAGTTCATATAAACCCACATTGAAATTCGTTACTTTTAATATGGGATCCAAGTGAAGCTCCATATCTTGTCTTGGAACCAGGATTATAAATGGGAATGTACTGAATTATCTCCAACGTGGCACGTCATATTTTGTAGGTTGCTGGCCCAATTGTCTTCCGTGTTGATTCGAGGCTTTCGCTTGGTTCTTCACCACAGCAACAAGGCCCTCATGTGGAGGATTTTATTTGCAGTTTGAATTACTCGTTGAGGCTTTTACGCTCTGGGAAGGTTGTTGCTTGGTATTCACCAAAAAGAAAAGAAGGGATGATTGAATTGCGCATATTTGAGTTTTAAAATGTTTTTTTGTGGCACATGCCTATCTCTGCCTGAATGCTCAAATTTTTCTTTTTTCAAAGAAATTTCATTGCAATTACATGGGAAGCTATGATCTTAGGAAATGCATCTAACCTGAAAGATTTTGTTTCGGTCCTCTATCCTATTGCAAATTTTAGGAGTACTCGGGCTAAATATTCACTTTCACCACCACCTCAATAATAATTCTTTTTGCCTTTGGGAAAAGTTTATTGAATGAATCTTTTTTTTTTTTTTTAAAAAAAAAAAATTTGTTAAGAGTTTTATCGTTAGTATAATGTGACTGAAATTTGAGATATTTCAAACTTATTGTTGATAAAATAATTTCTTTAACTTGTCAACTCAACTGAAATAGAAAGGTTATACTTGGTGGAGGTATCATAAATTAGTAACGTAGGGTCCTTTGGGGTACCGGTGTAGTATTTCAGAATAATAATGGCGGCCGGTGCTCGCTTGCATAGTGATAGAGCTTGTAATTTGTTGATGACATTTAGGACGCATAACATAATGTCAGATTTGTGACCTAATTTCATTAATGTAATTTTAGATGCAATAATGCGACCATTGCCATCACCTACACGTGTGAATTTAGGTCAGCGGTGAACCGTGTTTCAAGATGGAAGAACCACCCACCTGAAAATTTAGAGACCTGATATAACTCAAAAATACCATAGAATTTTCCACCAGCGTAAAATCAAGTCCACCAAGTATCTATTAATAGCGCAAAGTACTACTTGTCATCAGCATAGACATAATGTTTTTGTTCCTTTTTTTTATTAAGCAGCATGGAAGAAGGAATGAGATATAATCAATTTCTTAACTCCCAGCAATCGGAAATACAGAGTTACGTCAAAATATCGTTGCACAAGGCAAAACATCCCCTGTCAATTAATACAAGGGTGATGGACAGATACACTACTCCAGCAATCGTTCTTCTGGAAATCCAGCCAAAATGCTGAAATTTACTCAACTACGGCCAATAAATCACCAGCTTTGCAGAAACAGTGCTTCGCATCTGTTCCCAAATCAACCTGCAGAAATGCCCAAAAAAGGGCCAGATGAATGCACACAAGTGAATAATAAGCATCAATATGGCAATCAAACAGGCAGACGACAAAACCCACACAAACAAGGTTAGGCACTATTTTTGGGGAGGCATCCCATAGGTGAATGACCACAAGCCTCATTTCTGACAAATTTATCAAAGGCATGTGCCAAAACACTCCGACTATAATGGATTATTACCTCAATTGACTGCACAAAAAATGAAAGGGATGAATAACATTCATCACATTATCCAGCATTACACAAAGGGATGTAACACCATAGACATGTTATTTGCTCGCAAACATGAGAGACAACCATAAATTAGGTAATAAGAATTTAGGGAGCAGAACATAAAACGTCCTGGCTTGTGTGTGCATGGTCATTGCTGTATGTACATGTGCATGCATGCAAATGTCCCAACAACTGTTTTCAATGGTAAACATATTTTACAGTGTTAAGACGTCTTTCGAGCATATAAATGATAATTTCTTTAAATGCAGCCTCCTAGATAAAGTGATTTTCACTAGCCTCCACCTGGTTTGTAGTGGTATCAAGTGCACCATATTCAAAGGGACATTTTAAGAAAATCACATACAATCAAGAATTTAACCAACATAAGTCATGGTCTTTTAGTTAAAGAATAAAAGACAAATATTTGAAGAAAACTGGATATTACAGACGTAATATTACAGAGGCATTTAATTAATTCAAGTTTGATATGCAAGGTTCAGGGAGTGTAACGGTACACACCTCATAAGCATTTATGTCAGAGAAAAGAACCTGCAAAAGACACACGGACAATAGACCCATGTAAATGGCAAAGATCATTATGTATAATAGGGTAAATTATCAAGTGCGAGATTATGTCCCAAGGAATAAATTTGCTAGCGTTACTCATCATGCCAATAGACACGTCAATAGAAGCAAGATGATTCAAATCCTTTATTTGAATTATGCATGATCACTAACCTTCTTTCCAGCATCCACTTCCCCAACTTCAGCACCAACAGACAATACCTAGAAAAAAGGAAAAAAAAAGGTAGTTGATGTCAATAAAATCAATGTGTGAGATTTCAACATGGGGTTTATATGAACTTGGGTTCTCCAAATTCAACAGCCATACTTTTTGAAGTATGGTGTTATCCCAGGGTCATCCAATTGGTGATGTCAGTACTGTAGTGTTAGCCTGGGGCAAGTTAAAGGAAAAACCTCCCTAGCACAAAGCCAATCCATAGTGGGTGCCAGGCGAAACAATGAAAAGCTCATGCTACTAACCTCCCCCATTAGGTATCGCTCAAATTTCACAGCAGACTTGGGCAACAGAACTCCACCAGTTGATTTCTGTAGCACAAAGTTCATCAATCAGCACTGCAACTCAAAATGGGAAGATGTTTCAAGCAAGCAAATATTTACAAGCGGCAATTAATTGATGAATCGTTTAACATTATCTTGGTGAAGATAAAAAGCATTACAACCACATAGTATGATTGACTCATTAGTCTAATTAAAATACACATCATCATTAGAACCTCAAGGAAACGTTTCCAGCATGCTGAAACTTAAATGCAAGGTTTAGTATTTGGAAGGAAAAAAAAAAAGCAAGAATTATCCATTAATAAACAACGCATAAGTAGCAATAACAAGTGAGGGCCAAACTAAAGATGGAATTGCAAAATATTTGAGAAGACATCGCAAAACCAACATTGAGCGGGCAGTGAGGAGTGAGGAAGTGTTGAGGAAACAGAAGTAGGGAAGGATACCTCAGGTAGGTCTTCAAGACGAATAAGGACTCTGTCAGCTTGGGGAACAACCTGCAAACCTCCCATAAGCACAGTCGAAATAACGCGTAACGGCGAAAGTGGTATGGAAATTAAAAAGACCAAATTGCAGTACCTTTGTGGGTTCCCATTTTATGGCAGCTGCATTGACTCGAAGAGAATTTCTTGGCAATCCTGAAACAAGAATGAAATTAGGTCACAAACCAAGAAGAATGAATGGGTAGGGTAAATTCACCAACAAAAAAAAAAAAAAAAAAAAAAAAAATTTTATGGCAGCTGCATCTACTCGAGGACGGAATTTCTTGGCAATCCTGAAACAAAGAATGAAATTAGGTCACAAAACCAAGAAGAATTGAATGGTAGGGTAAATTCACCAACAAAAAAAAAAAAAAAAAAAAAAAAAAAGAAAAAAAAGCGGTGGGATTGAACAGACCTACAAGTCTGTGTTGAGAGAGAGAAGACGAAGTGGTTTTGTTAACCAAAAAGGGTATTGATAGAGTAACAAATGCAGAAGCCATGGATAAGGGCAGAAAATAGAAACAGAAGAGAGCCTTTTAGGAGTAGGAGCAGCGAACAAAAGCCTCCCTTGCTAGCTAGCTAACTAAAACCCTCCTCTCTGCCCTGTTACAGAATAAAGGCAAAAACGCGTTTTTGTTCTAGACTCTTCTTTATTTTTCTTTTTATTTGTAATCTTTATTTGACTTTTTACGTAATAAAAAAAATAACAAAATTACATCTTAATTTATTTTTTATAATAATGTTTTTATATAATGATTCATTAAATAAATGAAATTTAATCTCTAAATACAATAATCAAGGTAATAAAATTAATTATGAAGTATTGGAGCATTGTGTTTATTGTTATATTATATTATTACATATTCTGTTAAATAAATCAAAATAGAAAATTAAGTAACATTTTCATTTATAAGAAAAACAGAGTAATAATATGAAATAAAGGGAATATTATTTTTAGAAATTCTATCCTCTGTTAAAAAAAAAAAAAAAAAAAAAAAAAAAAAAATCCATTATATTTAGCAGCAGGCAATTCGATGGAGAGGCTGGCATCGTTGGATTCGGCAAACGTACAAATAAATGTAGGCCTTTTATTTTATGGGCTTTTTCTTTTGTCGGTATATCAATGGCCTAAATGGATGTTTATTATGGCTTTTTTTAATTGTGTTGTTCACTGTTGGCTTCTCCTGATTTTGCTTTCCCTGAATGGGTTTATAAAACAGTACTAGGCATGTAAGTGCTTTTATTCTATTTATTTATTTTTTATAAAAATTAAAAATTATTTTAAAAAAAAAAAAAAAAAAATCCATATATTAGCAGCAGGCAATTCGATGGAGAGAGCTGGGATCGTTGGATTCGCAAACGTACAAATAAATGTAGGCCTTTTATATATGGGCTTTTCTTTGTCGGTATATCAATGCCTAAATGGATGTATTATGGCTTTTTTTTAATTGTGTTGTTCACGTGGCTTCTCCTGATTTGCTTCCCTGAATGGGTTTATAAACAGTACTAGCATGTAAGGTGCTTTTATTTATTTATTTATTTTTTTATAAAATTAAAATTATTAATAAATTGATGACACAGGTAATATTAGTCATGTGATTGTTGAAAGGAGACTTCCAGTTCCACTTCCTCCACTATAACAATTGCAACAATGCTTGCAAATGAGCATATAGATTGATTGAAAAGGATCAACAAACCAGATATCCTCTTATCCAAACAAAATCCAGCAAAGGAGCTTCTAAAATTAATCACAACTATAAAAGTCATCATGACAAAGAGGAGAGGATTAACCAAAAGAAAGGAAAGCTATATCGCAGTATCATATGTGCTTTCAACCTGCATTTCTCCACAGCTTTCTTTCCAGTCACCCAAGATATTACGTGTCCTGCAAAATGAGCTTCTTCAGAGTTAATATCAGCGATCAAACGTCTCAAATTAATTCAGAAACTCCTATTAGTGGACAAAGACAACTCTTTTCTCTTTTAAGGAAATACTTTAGCCTCCTAGACATCTATAAAAGCAACAAAAAGAAAAACACATTGTAGCCATAATAAACAACATGTTCCTTTCCATGAAATCCATATACATGAACATTTCAAGCAATTTTGGCAACATATTAATGCTATCTAATGCATCTAGCTAACACACAATCGATTTATCAGAAACCCATTAGAGGGAACCTCTTTGCTATAACCATAAATAAAAGAATTCTCATCTTAAGGCACAATCGATTTACTATAATAGAATCGTTCAGGCATAAATATAATGCTATACAAATTATTAAGGACTCAACAGATCATGAATATCATAGCACTCTTATTTGGAAAGTTACATCTGGTTCAAATCCTGAGAGCTTTGATGCTGAAATTCCTTTACTTCCATCCCTTCTGTTCATTTCTATTTTTCGCATAATCCTGAAAGTCAATAAAAAGAGAAATGATTGGAAATTCCAATTCCTTCCCATCATATAAGAAACAGAATCAAGACAAATTAAAGATGCAGCCATCTGAAACAGAGAAGTAACTGAACACATAACTGAAAGAAGAACAATTAAGTTATTGGAGATCAGACAGAATGGAATAATTCATGAATGTATGAAGTGTGAATCCAAACATAGAAATAGTACAATCCGAACTGAGCATTTATGAGTGCATGAACGACATAAATAATCACATTCCGTTACATTTAGTGACAATTTTTTTTTTTGGACACCAAGAACTCCAAATACCGAACGCTGCAAGAGTCCAGGCTGAAACCAATATAGTGGCTCAAACATAAAGTTTTTCCACTTACTTAGACCTATAGCACCGGGCTAGATGCACAGGTTTCTTTCTTGTGAGAAGGAGAACGGGTAAGCCTGGATTAAAAACATAATCGTACCTTGACTTCTCCTAACTAAAACAAGAAACTTCCATAGACAAATGTAAGGAATCAAACTCCCAAATGAGAAGAAATAGGACGAATCTTTATAATAATAATTCAACCAACAAAGAGTAACCACAAGCAGTATCAAGCTTCTAAAGCAATAGGAAGTCGGACAATCAGCAATAGATAAATTAGTTATTGACTCCGCTGACAAATGAAACCATCTTAACAGCAGTGATTGATTTGACAAAAATGGAGATCAGGGAGAAGGAGACGTAGATGTACATAGAGTTGAGCAAACCTCTGTATAGTCCTCGTCTCGAATTCATCACAGCGATCAATAACCCTACGTGAATAAACATTATCATTAAAATTTACCAACAAAAAGAAGAAATATATAAGGAAAAGTTAAAAAAAAAAGAAAGCTAAAATAAAGAACTGGGAAATGAGTATAAGAATCAGAGGAAGAAACAAACCAGTCGAAGACCATCTTAGAGCCGAATGATACCCCTGCAGCTATACCTACAGCTCCAGTCGCAACACCCGCTGGTAAAAGACAGTGAACCACAAAAAATGAAAAAGAACTGTTTTGGGGAAAGACATAGAGAAGTCGAGGATACAGAACATACCACCATATGCCACTTTCTCCGGTGTCCGATCCATTGACTGCATGTTCGCCCTGTAATTCCATCTTAATTTCAGAAACAATGTAAGTCTAAAACCAATTGAGTTTTGCAATTATCGATTTACCATAATTGTTTAAACCCATCCATTCGCTTAAAACCTTGGTTGATCAGAAAACCCTAATAACAAAGAACATTAGAAATCAAATTATAAACCTATTCGGGGAAGCAATCCCGCGCCATCTACGGAGTAGCTGACCCAGACCCACCAATGGCCCAAGCCCAAAACTTTAAGACCGCCCACCGCCCGGGTGGCCCAATGGATCATGTGACCATCGATTCTGTTCCTGATCCGAACGGGAATGTTCGTGTCAACGGTGGAGATGCCTCAAACTCTGCTCCATTTCCTAGCAAAAAGAAACTGAAAAACCCTTCGCACAACGGCTAGTCGGGACCACCATTTCCATTATTTGTCCTTAATCTCTGGGCAATTAATTAAGTTTTGCCTCGTTACTTTTTTACGCGGAAGAGAGGGAAAAAGAAAAAAAAAAAAAGAAAAAGAAAAATCTTTTCCATTCAGACACACAATAACACTAGTAGATAGAGAGTAAAGAGGACACAAACATTCTGTTTTCTTTCAAAATGTTGGAAAGAAAGTGGAATCCTCTATGAGCTTAGGGTTTCTTTTCTTCTTTCCCTTTCCATTCTCTTTCTGACTTGGAGGACTATAATAGTGTTGGCAAAGATGATGCCACTCAAGAAGCTCTGCTGCTGTGAGTTGATTGTGCTCTGTCATCTTCTTCTGGCTGCTTGTGTTTCCTCAAAGAACCATGGTAATGTGCAATTATAATATTAGAAGTCATTGGTTTTTCTGACATGTGCACCTGTTATGTATTTTTGCACAGTTCGTTAGTAGGGGTTGTCGTCGTGAGCGATGATTTCAATTTCAAAATGTGGAATATGAAATGAAAGGGTCCGCTCGAGTCTATCCCCTTGTCGGCTTTCTGCCTATTCTGCTCTGTTTTGCAGGAAGAAGTTGTGTAACTTATATGAAATTTCTCGGAACCAAAACTAAATCTAATTTTCAGTTGAATTAATCAGTAATTACCAACTCCACAGTTTTCTCTGTTCGTGAAGTGCCTCAATTACTGGCATTTTATGTTGCAGCTAAGTTGACTAAAGATAGCACCTTCAGAAACGAAAAGAGATTACCTTTTTCCATCATTCTATGTACTCATAGATTAAAGTAAGGCGTTTTGGTGTCGTAACCAGTATGTTGTGTACGCTTTACTCATAGTCCTATGAAATGAACGCTTTACTCCTTGTTTGTTTTGATAATGTCAACTTACTTTTTGGCAAATTATCAAATTTTCATGCATTGATAGCAACAAACCGAATTGACTTCCTGTAAGCAATCAAGTATCGTTCTTGAACTTTAAAAAAACTCTTAAAATTTGGAAGTTAAGATTTTATCTATCCCTTAAGCCAGCAGCCCGCATCAGCTGCATAGCTACCTTGAAACATACAATATTAGTTCAATCAGGTTTTATTGAGGATACTCAATGATCTGGGTATCCTCATCAATTTTGTATAATTCATATAGTTTACAGAAATACTTATTTGTTAGAAGGAAATTTGTGATTGGAGAATAGTTGAGCACCTAGCCAAGTTATATTCTGCAGAAAACAATTTTTGATAGGGAGCTCTTGATTATAAGCTGGAATGTATATTTTGGTCATGTCATGGAGAAGCTGCGTTATGTTTTAAGCTATTTTGCACGTCAAAATACTAAATTTTTTCTAACTGTAGTTTGTTATATATTTGAGAACAGGAAATCCTGCTAATGATATTGTAGAGATGATTAATGAGAATCGAACAGCCCATAAACTTCCACAGCTTAATGAAAGTCCTGGTCTCGGCTGCATGGCCCTGCAATATGTTGAATTATGTGAGGGTAACTGCACTAGTAACAATGCTGTTAACTGCAAACCACCTGAAGATGATTTCACTGAGGTTTTTGCTCCGAATTGCGGTGTAGAGCTACCCACTTTTGGCACAATAACTGGTCATATTGTAGGCTGTGAATCCAAGTATGTTGACCCATCACAAGTTTTTTCTCATGTTCTTGTTAAAGACAATAGAACTTTATCCCTTCTGAGAAATAAATCACATACTGAGGTGGGAGTAGGCTTTGTTGGCTTTCACAAGGGCCCTTTCTTCTGGTGTATTTTGTTTAGTAATGGGAAGACGAACTCTACATTTGTTCTTGAAGATCATGGCAAAGGAATCAAGCAAAGGAAAGGGTGCTACAGTGGTAGTACTTTCCCATGCAGCAGTGGGCATAAGATGAGTTTGTTCTTGAACAATATCATGGCCATTGTTTTCCTGTATCTTTGCGTCTCCCTGCATCTGCATGAAGTTAGATTCTGAGAATGTGAGTGGTTTGCAGGCTGTCTGAGAGATTTTTTTCCATGTTGAGGTAACCATGAAATTCTACTGTAAGAGATGCAATTTTTCCCCATGTTTGTCCTTTGTGATCATGTGTTGATTTTCTAGTTTATTTATGAGTTTACAGAAAGTTGAATTCAACTTAAGTTCGGTCTTTCTATCATTTTGTTATGTAGTTATTGGTTATGAGGTGATTGAGAGAAAGCAAAAAGGAGTAAATAGATAGACCTAGATGTTGATGAACAGGTACTTGGCCTTCACGAGTAAACCTCCTTGTGACTCTTATTGACAGACAGAAAGTGATGCAAAGAAATTAAACCTTAAAGAATAGAACTTGCCTAGTATTGTTAATCATTTATCTACTTGCAGCTGACAACATAAATTACTTGCACATGGGAAGTTATTGGTTTGGTATAGTTTAGGATTATTTGGTGTGTAGAAAAAGTTACCCTGTTAGTTAGTTGCGTCAGTTTATAGTTGTTGGGAATATATGTTAAAACACAGCATCCCCCCTATTTGAGCACAAATAGCGGACTCTGTCTCATGCGCCAACTGGTTTGAAGTTAAATTTGCCAAATTTCTTGGTCATCAATGCCTTGGTGTTATTTGTTTATTTACAGTACACTCATAATTCATCCATCATCACTGCCCCTGCCCCTACCATTATCCATCCTTGCATATAAATTAATTAATTGACAAAATAAATTAATTATCAGAAATTACAAGTATTAAAAGGAAATTTTGCAGACAAAACACACAACTATCTCATCTATATCCGGTAAACATAACATTACCACCAACCGACATCCAAAATCCACAACACCAGAACAATAAAGCCACAAAGTGCAAAATAATCAATATGACGATCTTTTTTACTAATAATTGAATTCGAGTCTAATTGAGACTAAGAGCAAGTAATACAGTAGGAGACGCCATATACATGTAAACATGCATCAACATCAACATCAGCAACAGATTTTTATTTTTGTCTTCAATTAATTCACCCAGGAACAGGATTGAGGCACCAAATATCTCATCCATTCATTCCTCTTTTGATATCAATCAAGTGTATCTGTCCATCCCGATGGCATCATCGTAAATTCATACAAAACTTTTGTCAATTTTCTACTTTATCTATCTACACTACCACTATACTTCTAGGCTACCAACACAAACATGGAAGGCAAGGTATTCCATTCCATATTTTGCTTTCGAATTTCCTACTCTCTCCTCATCCTGTACCGTTTTGCTGTCGATATAGCAAAAATGGACTGGACCAACCATTACATTTCTCCTAACCAACTGCTTTATTTATCATTCATACCCCTGAGAACCAACGAAACATTTCGCTGATTTCCTCCCCCATCCGATTCGCTTCCACGTCGTAATCTCCAACGCTGCCTATCTCGCTCCTGCGACTGCTTCCGGTGAAAAACCTTCCAGAACTTCGAAATGACAAAGCACGCGATGACAGAGTATTCGACAGCCTGTCAACGTAATCCTTTAGCCAACTCCTTCCGGAGGCCACCTCCGATGCTAGGTTTGGCTCTTGACAGGACGGGGATACTGGAGCAACGATTTCCTTATCTGAAACGCTTCTCCTGTGCGTGTGGCTCATAGTAACCTCAGATTCTTCCTCTACAACGTACTCGAAAGAGCCTACAGAGTAGGAACCTCTCGTTTCGACTGCGGAATCAGACGCTGCTTGCCTTCGGCTGATGGAGCCAATCTCGAGACGGAAGCTTTCTGCACCGCTACCGTCAATGCTGCTCGATAGTGCCTTGAAGAGGTCGGACTCGGAGGCATGAATTGGAGATCGACAGAGTGGACACGTTTGATTAGACTGAAGCCAGGTGTCGATACAATGAGCGTGGAAAGCATGGCAACACAGCGGAAGGAGACGGAGTTGGTCCTGCGATTCAAACTTGGACAGGCAAACTGCACAATCTCCAGAAGTGGTTGCAGAACGGCGTTTGATGGAACTGAAAGAGAAAAGAGGGAGAGAATTGATGATCGAGAATGCAGGACTCTCAGGCGAAACACGGTTGGTCGAGTGACGAGTAGAGGAGGCCGAGGAAGTGGTGATGGTGATGGCGGTAGTGGATGCATGAGAGGTGGGAGAAAGGTGGCGTAGACAGCGGCGGTTGAGATGGCGGAGAAGGAGGCAGAGAGAGATGGAAAGAAGAAAAGTGATTGAGAGGATCAAAACAATAACAAGAATGCTGGGTTTAAGATTTTGAAAAGGAGAAGTATGAGCATCTTCACTGTTATTGTTGAACGGCAGAAGAGGAGACGGCGGAGACGGTGAAGACGACGACGACATTGCTACTTCAACTTTTGGTTGGCGAGAGAGAGAGAATGGGCGGCTTTGGAATTTATAAGAGATGGTGATGTTTGCGTTTAGAACAAGGTTTGGCATTGAAACAGAAACAAAAAGAAGAAAGAAAAGGAAAGAGAGGGAGAGCATGTGAGAGTCACGTACGGAGTGGAAGAGATGGTGGATGATAAATGGAAGAAGGGGGTAGTCATTTATGGCATTCATTCACTCACTCAGCTGCCATTTTGCCTAATCAATTTAAATCAGAGTAAATGCGGTGCAGAAGATAATTTCTCTCAACAGTTCTATATAGATAATACAGTATTTATGTAATTCACATTTTTACTGTGCGGAGAGGAGAGGGGAGATGAGTTGTTCTTTTTGATTTTATTTATTTATATTAACTGTCTGATTATTATACAGTTGACTTTATTATTATTATTATTATTAATTATAATATAATAATGCGATTCATCATTCCATAATGTCCAAGCGGTTTTCTTCGCACAAACATGCCATTAATTATCCTTATTAATAGTAAAATAATAATAGCACCCTTTAGCACGATATTACATTGCTTTCTTCACACTCTTGGCATGCATATGTTTCTGCTTCTCTGACCAAACACTACATATATACTTACTATATAAGTATTGAGTGCCATTGCCAATATGACATTAAATTCTTAAAAGGAGGTTAAAAACACAGTACTGTGATTAAGCTTTTGCATCGATATGAAGAGGGCATTTAAAAAAAAAAAAAAAAGTAAAAGAAAGTAAGTCCCTTTACTGCAAAAAAGTACAAGATGAAGGTAAGAATACTAATACCAGCATTGATAAGGCGTAATGTAGGTGGAGGTGTACGTGGCCAACTTCAAATGTTGCCAAAGCCTTCTAATAAAAGTCAGACAGTGGATTAGCTAAGCTAATCAAACACAGCTTATCTTACTCTTATAGGTTAACCCCCCCGGCCGCAAGCCGCACCTTTGGGCTTTGGGTAACGTTTGATTGCTAAATTTCCAACTAATTTTGAGAGGAATCCCAACTTTTTAAGTATTTAATGACTTCACTCTTCTTAACACCACGGCAGCTTCTTCTGTCTCCGTTTCAAATTTGATAAATATAATATATAGTCCAACAGAGCATTGAATTTTTGAATTAAAGCCCACGACCTAGCTACCTCATTATTAATTATCCTCCAACCCTGAAATTGGGTTAGGTTGAAGACACTGTTATGGTAAACACCGACAAGTTATAAGAACACTTGAGCCCTCAGGATCAGGAGCTCCGTTACTCACTTTGCTTCGTTACCACTCTAGGCATACCTCCTAAACACTATGGGGTAGGTCCCATTCCTTCACCGGACAATCTTTAACTTTCCTTCGAGCAAAAAGATGCGTATGTCAAATTACTTGCTGCCATCCTATTTATCCTTGTTCGAAATGGTTTCTGGCTACCTAACACAGTCAATGCACCAGAACCCTTTCCGAGCCTTTCGGCTAAGGTCAAGTCAATGTTAACCTAAAATGACAAAAGCGAAATTCTTCCTCCCAACTTTTTCTTCACCTAGCTAGCTTCTTTCCCAAGATCACAGCCTGCCTGCCTCACTCTTTCAAATCACACGTTCCACAAACCTTAAATTCATTAACTTTTTAATTGGAACTTGTATACTCTTACAGTTTGATCTATAGACAAGTAGCTTTTTAACTATATAGATACTATATATTACAAATAATCTGCAACAGAAGAAAATTCTAGGACAACTATGTCTTGTGGTGAACACTTCTTGACGTTTCAAGAGAAAAGTTTTTTGACTTATCTAGCCACTTTATACGTGTCAATCAAAGAGATGGGATCTCAGGGTTTGAAGCAGAACCTTCAGCAACACCCTTGCAAACATCATCTCTGCAGAGGGGGCATACCCTGAAATAAAGAGTACCCAAATATAGGAGCAAAAATGAAGGAGAAGATCAACAAATGACAACTTTAACAAAATCGCTCAGAGTTGAAAAGAAAAACACAGGAGAAGAAGGAAGCAATAGAAAATTACCCATGTACTTCTTTCAGCCATTTATCGACACATGACATGTGATATTCATGAGAACATGGAAGAGCTCTAATTTTATCCCCCTCCTCATAGTCAACTAAGCAAATGTTACACCTGTCAATGAAAAAAAAAAACCTCACATGAAATACCTGTTGATGAGATTACACCACATGAAATTGATTGAGAGAAAAGAAATCATGAGAATTGATGTATATTGCACTTCCATTAATTCAGAATCCAGCTTTATTAAGTATCAAAGAAGAAAATAACGTTAAAATCAAAATCATTAAAACACCCATAACTGATTCATCCACAAAAACCCACCTAAAGTAACCAAATTTTCTTACCAGAGATGCAGATCATTATTATTAAAGACGTTAAAATAGAAATGGTGTACAACAGTTCTTCACAAGGTACAAACATTTTTTAATGCTTGAGTTTATTAGAAGTTGAAATTTAAAATGACAATTCTTAACAGTTATTTATCACAAGGCAAAATACCCTGATTAATATTTCCTTTTCTTTCTTTCTGACCTACCTCCTTTCTGTTCTTTATTTACACAATTTCTCCAAAAATTTCGCTGCTTTACTTGAACTAGTTTCCCAGTTCATGAAGTCGCAAATTTGCTAGTGTTTCACCACATATAATAGCAGATAAAGAAGTATAAATCAAGGGCCAAAGTGCCAAAAGATTCTTGAGTATCTACTCATATATCATTATTATTAAACAACACTCGTGCACGCATATTTTTCTGTGTACACAAATCCCATAATACAGTATCTAAAGAATATAAACATGCCAAAAATGATACAGCAACAATGCAAAAGCAAGAGGACTTACTGTTGCACATCATGTGTACCACTCTCAGTTCCACATGACTTTTTATAATCCTTGAGAAGAAATGAGTTTACAACAGCTTCAGGAGCAGGAAGATTGAGCATAGACAATGAAAAAGACATGCGGTGGCGATGAACTTCCTCGAGAACCTACAGGTGGAACAGAATAAGATATCAAGGTGATGAACATGCTTTACATTCAGAAAAGGTTGCAAAACCTATGTTACTTCCATTTCAAAGATACATCTTTAAACATTATTTCTGATAAATTTAACACAGCTATAAATTTTTACTATATGACTACACAATGCCATTGTGGTTACGAGGGTGCATTTACTTTTTCCTTTCATAGTATTCTTCTACTCTTTTCTTTTTGCTCTTTTGCAATGAGCCAGTATATACATATAACTGATATATGCTATGGAAAAATGAAGACATATGAAAGGCAAAAGATCTATTTTCACCAACAATCATATGCAGAAAGGGAGAAATAATGCCTTCTCATGTATATGCACATTTCATCAGGCAGAAAACTTCCACAGCAAGGTTGCACATTATCAATTTAAAAGATTTAGCTAATTAGAAAGTCATTAACCTCAAAAAGTGCATCTGCAAGCATGATTATTTGTGAAATGCTTGCACGCCTACTGGACTCCTCAGCAATGGATGAAGATTCACATGAACATGTACCGCGAGGGTGACGCCCTGTTGCACATAAAGAACCTTGCCAACCTTGTTCATCATAAAAGTCACGAAATCTTTCTAGCATCTGAAATGATCAATTATGATATCAAACTCTGTGAAGCAAATGTCAGTAAGGATAAAAAAAAAAAAAAAAAAAAATGAAGCAATGTCAGAAGGAAATAAAAAAAAAAAAAAAAAAACAGAAATTTTGAATGAACAATGAATGCCATTGCTTCTATGAACCACTATAAGGTGGTAACTAGAAAATAACCACATATAAGAGAGTATACAAAGAAAAAGGAAAAGGGAAAACTCTTACCTCGTGATCTTGATTGCCATAGTCGTTCAACTTCTCATGATCAGCTTCTAGCTGCCAGAGTATTCTAGACTCACGACCAATGCAAAAAAAAAAAAAAAAAAAAACAGAAATTTTGAATGAAAATGAATGCCATGCTTCATAACCACATATAAGGGGTAACTAGAAAATTAACCACATATAAGAAGTTACAAGAAAAGGAAAAGGGAAAACTCTTACCTCGTATCTTGATTGCCATAGTCGTTCACTTCTATGATCGCTTCTAGTGCCAGAGTATCTAGACTCACGACCAATGCCATCATAATGAAGATCACCACTATAATCAAGGAGCCATCTGTCATGAGATCCCAGATCATCAGCATGACTAGTTGTAAAAACAATGCTTGGGGAATTACTATTCCGCCTAAAACTGTTTCTTGAGAAAAAATCCCCAAACATCCTTCTAGAATTCCTTCTTGTCTCACGGTTACTAATTTCTGCAATGCCACTAGACAAAATGTTGGAATGTATACTCACCACATCAACCAATATCATGCCCATGCCCATAGGAACTTGATCCCCCACAGACAAGTGAAATCTTGGAAGCTGTTGAGAAGTTTCTAGAGAACCTGAAACATCAGAACCAGAATCAGGTGTAAAGCCATCGATACTGACATCCGCTACGGTCTGCTCGTCTGAATGTAGACTCGCAGTATCCTGACCCACAAGGCTTGTGTGAAGTGCATCAGTAGAGTGTGACCCTGTAGGTGGCTGAAACTTTAAGGAAGTATTGGCTACTTGAGGTTCAATGAGACTGTTGTTAACATTCAACTGCTGAGAACATAATTCCAAATTCCCAGAATGATTAGTACAACTACTAGATGTATACTCGGCGGTAGCAGTACTGCTTCTAGAAGAGGCCTCATTTTCAGCAGTGGAACTCGTAAAATCAGCTTTAGAACCAAAGGTTGACTGCTGCTTGGAGCTGATTGACACATCATGGTGCGGAGCCATGTTTTGAAGAGATATAGTTGATGAATCATCCGGACGATCACCCACCTGGAAAGCCAAAATCAGTTTGAGAATCACTCGGATATATGAATGCAGTCAATTCAATTGGCCGTGATTATTTCATTAAACAAAAAACAAAAATGGAAAACTGTTGGCATCAGATTTTAGTGACAAAAAAGAGAAACTTGAAACCACAAAAATGTCAAAAGCAGCTGAATAACCGGTGGACTCCATGTTTTGCCACAGAATGAATTAACGAGATAAAGTAACCACTATTTATCATTTAGCAAGCAACAAAAGTGATTAATAGACTACCTCTGGATTCTGATTTTTTTCAGCAATTTTCTCTATTTCCTAGAACTTTCTAAGCAACTAAAGGAAGAACAGTGAAATTATCAAGAAAAACCGTTGACTCAGATGGACCTTTCAAGTTTAAGTACTAACGAAAACCTTTGCAGCAGTTAGCTACTGACTAGCATGAAATTACAGCAACAGAGAAACTGATCTTAAAAACCAAGTATAAAGGACTGAAGGAGCAGCCTTTTTTTTTTACCTCGATAGGAGTGTAAGAAGAAGCAGCGCCACAGAAGAGAGAGGAGAAGAATCTGTGCTTGAGCCCTAACCTGCTATTGCTAGAACCCATTGTTGCTGTTTCTGAGAGCTTAGAGACAGGGACAGGAAATGGCGATCAAAGAACCACAAACACAGAGGAAGACTTTTTTTTATTTTTCACCTTTACCCCGCACAAAAGTCTGCCTTTACCGTCTCTGGTGGGAACTAACGATCCTATCCCTTCCTTGCCATCTTATACCCCTACACGTAATCATTTTGACACGACGAAACATAGCTATCCGACTGTGTATTAGAAAATTTGACGTGGGACCCACAGCGGTCTTTCTTTCCTTTCGTACGATTGGAAGGCAAGGGCAAGGGAAGACCACAGCACAGATTACATACTCTTCTTGTAAAATTTAGTCGTCAATACCACTTAATTTTTAAAAGATAAAACTTTGATCTCAGGATGCATTTTAACTTATTTTTATAAAAAATAAAACATCATTTTCCTGCTTTTCATGTTTTAATGCATTGTTATCGCTTAATAAATTAAACATCATCTGCCGTTAAGCTAACACTACTCAATTGTTATAATTAGCAATTGAAAACGATTAAGCACACTAGCTGGAGCTGGCCTCTGCTTGTTGGAGTAAGTCAACAAATTCTAAGAGAACCCAAACGTAAACAAAAAATACTAAATATCCTCCAAACTGTGTCAACATATATTTCGAATTCTCCAGTCTAAACCTCCAACAGTACAAAGAACTAATACAAAATCTAGGATGTTAGGACTGAGTTCATACAGAGACAACATCAAAATGACCATGGCAAAGCCATTATCATCTTGGATGAGCTTATGAATAACTCGTCCACAACTATAATAACTCAAGCCTCATATGGCTGTGAAAGCCTTCTTTGCACCACCAGAAGAGCCTGCTGGAATGACCTTCAGCACATTGAACCTCACTGTCTTTGACAATGGCCTGCAAGATTAACAATAAGTATATGCGTTCAAATTTTAAAAATACTTTAAAATGCAACACCATCAAATTACAATTCAAAAAAAAATTAATAGGGTGTCAAGCATATAACCTGCATTGACCAATGATAACATGGTCTCCTTCTTTCACACGGAAGCAAGGGGATATGTGTGCTGGGATATTCGAGTGACGTTTCTCATACCTAAATAAGGTGCCAGCGTTGCAATAAGTTTTTGGTAGAAGACGACCACATAGATACGGATAAATATAATCACTGGCACCCAAAAACAGATGGACTGCCAGATAGTAATTTTGAGGAATAAATAAATGAACAAAATCCTTACCTCTGGTATTTCTTGATGAAGTGAAGGTAATTCCTCCGTACAATAATGGTCCTTGTCATCTTAGCACTGTGGCAAGTACCAGCCAAAATGCGTCCTCTGATAGAAACAGTACCAGTGAATGGGCATTTCTTATCAATATATGTTCCTGTAAAGAAACGTACAACAAAAACCATCAAAATGCAATCATCGTGCAATATCACCAATTCACGAAAGGGCAAGAGGCACCACCTACCACATGATCTTCCAAATTATGTGGATAAGAAACTCAAAAATGCAAGCCAAGCAAGTGCATCAGAAAAATATACAGTTCTGAATTGTTCAAGGCTGGGTAGGCCCAGAATACAGATAGGGCAGCAAAATGAAATACCATTGTACTGATTACATATGCTGCAAACAACACGATCCCCTTATGTCATTTATATTCATTCATCCAAACTCTGGTGACAGAGAGCACAATGACGCGACAAATCTAGCAAAGGCATCTGGATACCTAGTTTCCAAGACGAATTTTTTTTTCCTATAGTGGCATGTGATGGATCAATGCAACAGCCATGTTCATTGGAACAGTAAGTAGAAATTACAGGTGAAGTTACATATTCCAACAATTGTTAAGCTTTTTGTTAACCGTAATGGCAAAATCCTCTTCTCAAAGGGATTCAACCCACAATGAATTACAGCATCATTGAGTAACATTTGAAAACCCAAAGGCACCTTCACATTTTACAAACCAAATGGCAAAACTAAAGCAAAAGCAATATCTTAATATTGAATTATTCAGAGGCCAGAAATCAAATAATAAGTTCAAATCCACAACAAATTGCAACCAAGACTACTATAGGAGGGAAATACAGAGTAAAAACTAAGAAAAGACAAACCTTCAACCGCCTCTCTGGGTGTCTTAAAGCCCAATCCAATGCTTTTCCAGAAACGGTTTCCACCTTTACCAGGCCTCTTTCCTTTCCCAGATTTCTTGGAGCTATAAAATAAAAATAAATCCGATAGCATTAGCACAGCTCCAAAAACAACTAGCGAACTATTTATAGAAAAAGGGAATTAGTAAAAAATATACCTTAGGAAAACCTTCGGTTGCTTCAAGAAAGCTTTCTCCGTCTGCATCAAAAAGTTATATTGAAGGTAGAAAAAATATCGGATAAAAAATTACAAGGTAAGAAGCTAGAGGTCACAAAAGAAATGACAGAAAAAAATGGACGCATAAAGCACAGTTATGTGAAGCTTCCACTGTTTTTGCTCAGTAGAAAACAAAAGTATCAAAAGACATAGAAACCTGGATACTTTTTCCATCTCATCCAGTTTTCTCAGCGTAAAAACAGATAACGCAGTTCAAACAAGATTCAGTATTGAAAAGACATCAATAGAGCGACAGAGAGTGACGTACCTGTTCCGCCATGGTCGAGATTTGGGCGACTGATAGCAGGTAGCAAAACGAGAGACGAGAGGCGCTCAAGTGGAAACCCTAGACACCATTGCTTATATATTGGGCTGTAAACTTACAATAATGGGCCTTACTTCTGAATAAAGATAAGGTGGGGCTTTACAGTCCACACGGGTCAGCCTATCCTCCATTATACCGCCCCAGCAAGGCCGAAATCAAAAGACCCGTTATACGATGTCGTTTTCGACGATGGATTTAGAATTAGATGACAGGATGACCCAAGTTCGTGCGACACATCGGATCAAAGCATTCACGCACTGGTCACTGCCAACTCCAAACGCCTGCGTTTCTCTCCACTCCGACCTTGCGAGAGCCGAGCGACCAAACCGTCTGAAAATGCTTCGCAGAGCCACCGGATTCCTAGCCCGACCCATTCTTTGCGGCAGGGCGCGACCTTTCTCGACGGATCTACACGCTGCTCAGACCACGGACTCTGGCTTCGTGGAAGCGTGGAAGAAAGTAATCCCAAACATGGAACCACCGAAGACCCCTCTCTCTTTCATGCAGCCTCGTCCTCCTACACCATCTTCTATCCCTTCCAAGCTCACCGTTAACTTCGTGCTCCCTTATGCTTCTGAGTTGTCCAATAAAGAGGTGCTTCTGTAGTCGATTTTATTTTGTCTATTTTATCTCTATTATTGTGAATAAAAACTTTTTCTTTTGTTTAGTTGTTCGGCTGATAGAGATGGTCTCAATTGATCGATGAATCACCCGCATTTTCAGTTTGTGAACGCCTACATTCTGCTTTTGAAGCTTACCCTTTTTATTGACTGTGTGATCTTTCATGTCATTTTCTACCTGTTAATCGTTGAATTCTTTACTTCTTGTCGATTTTAACTTGAACACAGTAGAGTATATTTATTCTCTAAAAAAGGTCATGATCGCTCGTCCGTCTGCATCAAAGAGATTATATGATCTTATGTATTTAAGAGAGAGACAGTTGGGTTTTAACATTCAGATGGGGCTTTTTACATCCTAAAATGTCATTCATATCTTAAGCTATTCCGTGCAAGTTAAATTTTTATTTTATTTCATGGGACATTTACAGATTTATTTTTGGTACCTGTTTTCTTAAATCCATGCATCAATTCTTTCTTTTTGATGTAAAGATTTACTTATCTTTATAATCTTTGAGGACATGGTTACGAAAGAAATTCAAGGGGAAAAATATGTATGTTCTTGCACTTAAGAGATCATAGAAACAGTTGATCAGGCCATACTAATTTTCAAAGTTGAAATCTCTTTGTACATTCTTCTTCTCTCATACTCTCAATAGAGCTTCTATGACACTGTAGTTTCAATTGATTGATTTTGTGAACTGCTTCCCTTCTCTTATACTCTCAAGAGAGCTTCTATAACATTATAGATGCAATTGATTGGTTTTGTCAACTAATTCTGGGAAGTATCCTAATAAACTCTCATATATGCTAACAAAAACAGTTATGATCGTTAATTTGGATGTGGCAAACTATAGTACCCACTTCAATGCAATTATTGAGTATTCTATATCTTATGAAAAAAACTTAGAAAGAGTTTGTCTGAATTAGTGGCTTCAGTTTTGAGCTCACTCAATAATTTTTTTTTACTTTGTTCTCTTTTAATAAAATTGTGACCCAAGTTCCTAGCATTCAAATGTGGTGATGTCCGTCACTTTTTTCTTTAACTTATTTCTTACTTTAACCTTGACCATGAAATAGAAGAGTATTTTTTTATCACCTGTTCCAATATGATTGAATCTTGTTCTCATGCCCCCTGGAATTTCGCTATGAACAGTGCAAATGAGAAAAGAATATCATATAGCTGGAGAATTAGGTTATTAGTATTGCATAATTGAGTTAAATTGAAATGGAATCATCTGCAACCCTGTTTTTTATTTCATCTGGGAAAAAAAGTCTTACTAAAGATTGGTAAACGCTTCATCCATTTTCACTATCAAACTTTAAATTAGTTTTGAGCTTGTGCAATATTACGATACTTTTGGAAATTAGTGCAGGAACTTCTGACGCATGGCCGCTTTGCATGCTCAACGGCAAAAATTCTCAGTGATTTTTTTTCTCATTTGAGATCAGCTAATGTAAATTAAGCATACTAATGAACTTTTCCTATTGCCCCTGTCTTCTTTGGTACTTGTTGTTCAATTAGTTATGAACCTAATAAAGATAATGGACTTCTCTTGCACAAATTTTTTCTTTGCAGGTATTTTCAACTTGTAACCTTACACTAGCTTGATTGATGAGCAACTTTATAGGGTTTGAGTCATGTATTTTGCAAATACCATGGAACCATGATTAATTCTTTGAATTCCCACTATTATTATTCGCCCTCCTGCTGAAAACTTTATTGAGGTGCCCCTTTTCTCTGACCATCTTTACTATAGCTGGTTTTGTTTGCAGGCTAGAGGTCGTGGGGAACAACCTTGATAGAGATTTTGTTTAATAGATTTTCTAGACAGTCAAAATTATTTGTTAAAATTAAAAGAATGCCTGGGATCCTGTGTCTTATTTGAGAAAGAATCCTTTCTTTTTATGTTTGTATTGTAATTAGATACGTTAGAACGAGTTTAAGAATCATTGAGGTAATTTACTGAAAGGAAGATGACATGACCATCACTTGTTACTTTCCTCGACTTCTTTTTGCAGGCTGACATGGTCATAATTCCAGCAACAACAGGGCAAATGGGTGTTCTTCCTGGACATGTCTCAACAATTGCAGAGTTGAAACCTGGGGTGCTATCCGTGCACGAAGGGAATGAAGTGACGAAGTATTTTGTTAGCAGTGGCTTTGCATTCATCCATGCAAACTCCTTTGCTGATATAATTGCTGTTGAGGCTGTGCCAGTCGATCAAATTGATGCCAACCAAGTTCAGAAGGGACTCGCTGAGTTCACCCAGAAGCTGAGCTCAGCCTCAACTGACCTGGAGAAAGCTGAAGCCCAAATTGGAGTGGATGTGCATAGTGCTCTCAATGCTGCTCTCACGGGCTAGTGATTGCAGTTCTTTCACATGTTCCTTTTTTTGCTTTCTTTTAAGTCTGCCTCAGTGACACTTGAACTTGTGGCGTAAAGGCTTAAGATTTCTTCTCAGCCTTTTGTTCTTGCATTTCTGGGCTGAACGTGAAACTGGTACAAGTAAAATCTGAACGGATTTATATAGTTTTCATGGAGTTAAAAGCTAGATATCAAGTTGTTGCCTTGAAAAAAGAAAGTGGAATGGTTCATTGTTTTGATGTTCCCCTTTGAAACCTCGTCAACCGCTATTATTAAACTGGCCCGGCTCAGCTCGGCCCAGCAGGCCAACCCATGGAATCAGTAAACCAGACTCAAAATTGGACCGGCTTTTGGTTTGAATCATTTAATGAAGAGAACTGAATTGAACTTGATATTGAATCAATCAATTTGGATCGATTATGTTACTTGATGTTTTTAATTATTTTTTTCTATTATATTAGTTTAAATTATTTAGCCCGGAATTGCCAGTCATGAATCCTTAATAAAATATGTTACAATGGACGATCTGCCGTGGAGCCTTGTTTGGTACAGCATAATACAAATAGAAAAAATTGCATGAAATGAAAGGAATATAAAGATATAATAATTTTATATTATTATTATTCAAGTCTCATATGCACTTAACATTAAATTAATATTTCGGTTAATAGCTAAGTAGAAAATTAATGATGAGGCCTTTGTGAAAAAGTAAAAAAAGGAAATTAAATTATTAAGATTTTAGAAATAAGCTGATGTGTGGAGCAGTATAAAGGGCAATTAAGAAATAAGGACTTCCATAAATATAGTATTTGCTTAATAGCTTTCAAATCAACATTTTGTTCTTAATAAAACCCTAAATTAAAGTAATAAAATCTTTATAGATTTGGACAGCTCCCTCATACTCCACGAACTATAATAGAATAATAAAAGAAAAGTATTCCATCTTGTAATAATAATAATAATAATGCAATCTAATGGCTGTCGTAAGAGGCATTGACGTCGATCCGAGGGTGGCTCCGCCAGTCATTTTACTACAGCACATTTTGATGGATTCTCCCAGTCCCAGGCCCCACCGCCCCAGCTCCAATTTGCGGGGAGACGCCAGTGGTACCACCACCACCTCCAAATAATTGAGTCCCTGGTCACTTTTTTGTTGTGGCACAGTCTTTACCGTTGATCTGCGTGACCTTGATAATCGCGACCTTCTCAATAAGTGACACCATTTCTTTTTTCTAAACAGATGCCACGTACCACCAGCCTCAATTATGTGTTGCCACGCTGGTTTGTGTAGGACGACGCACGTGTCCAGGGCAAATACAAGACGCAACAGGGACCGGGGCACACGGACAACGGCAGTGGGGTCGACAGACATGGACCTACGAAGCTGTTCCGTCAGGTGGGTCCCAGATTCCCATGGCCTTTTGTCCCCCGTGGGGCCTACATCTACTCAGCTCCAAGTTCGTTTTATTGTTGTTTATGGGATCGGTGGGGCCTTCTCATCATCAATCCCACTTGTCAAGTGGTCCCTGGCTGGACTGTTATTTTTCTTTTCGGTCCTATCCCTCGGACTCTACAAACTCCACAAATCACTACAATTAACTTATAGGTTTGCAAAATTATCCTTAATTATTTCAACTTAACAATGATTATCTTATCAATTATAATCTATTTGAAATGGAGATTTAGTAATTATTTTTAATTTTTTTAAAAAAATTTCTACTAAAGTAATATTTTTTTTGCACTTCTTTTCAATTTTGATATAATTCATTTTCTTTGTGGAATCACAGAAAATAGCAAAAATTCTTGGGGGCGTTGTAAAATAGAGAAGAAAATAGACCCCATACGCTAAATAGGCAAAAAAAGTACCATTCCAAAAGTAGCTTTCCAGAAAGATGCATGCACTATTGGTCATCGGATTCAATACCACCCCTTGGAATCCGTGGAATGGCCACTGGTTTTAATATATTTAATTTTACTGTACTCGGAAATTAATTTGATAATTGCCCGTCGAACCATCATAAAGTAATCCAAGGGATGTGATTGCGACAGATCACCCAATTACAGTATTTCATAAAGCATCTGATTCTGTCAAAATCCACTCCCCTCTTTCTTTAAATGCATCACCGCCCAGTGAAGCGTCTCCCTCCGACTTCGGGATTGCTTCCTTCTTCTTCCTCTTTCCGCATCTTCAACGTAAAAATCAGTCATGTCTTATTACTCCGGTGACGAACCTCACTTCCTCGAGGCATGTTTTCTTTGCCGGAAACCGCTCGGATGTAACTCTGACATCTTTATGTACAGGTTTGTTGATCAAATCGTTTTGAATCGAATTTGGATTTCTTGTAAAATTAATTACGAATCGTTTCTTTTTTTTTTTTTTTTTTTTTCCGGCATTCTTCCAACGTCTAAAAATCAGTCATGGTCTTATTACTTCCGGTTGACCGAACCTCCACTTCCTCGCAGGCATGTTCTTTTCGGAACCCTCGGAGTGTACACTCTGACATCTTATGTACAGCGTTGTTGATCAAATTCGTTTTTGAATCGGAATTTGGTTTCTTGTAAAATTAATTACTGATCGTTTTTTTTTTTTTTTTTTTCTGATTCGTGTTTCTGGGAATTGAATAATGCAGGGGGAATACACCATTCTGTAGCAAAGAGTGCAGACAAGAACAGATAGAAATGGACGAGTCTAGGAAGAAAAAGAATTGGAAGCTGTCATCTTCCTCTAGTAGATCTCTGAGAAAATCGGAGGGCGAGGAGACGTCCTCCAATAAAGCTGTACGGACGGGTACAGTTGCTGTTGCCTAATCAATGAAGTCAATTTTGAAGTTCGGTAATACCCATTTACGTAAACATGAAGAAGAAAATGGTGAGAGGTCCAGACTTAATCTGTAAAGAAATGATTCTGTGTGGAGCTATGAGAAAGAAGATTGCAAGGCCAATCACAGACTTCAATCTTTTTGTTTTATTTTGATTTTGATTTTCTGGATTGGTGGTTGAATGTTTATAACGATTTGAAGAGGATTTTGTAATTCTTGTAGTGATAATATCTCTGTCTAAATATTGTCCAAAAAAAAAAAAAAAAGTTTTTGAGGCAATGAATTGAAGAGCATCAATACAATTTTATAATTGGTGAGAATTTGTTCCCTCCCTGGACTAACTCAGGTTATGATCAGTTGCACTGAAATTAGCTGAAGGGATTGTTTCTGCAGGGGAAGAGAGTTTATGCATGAAGAGAAATGAATGTTATAATAAATTTTGGAACGAAAATATTCTACAAAGATAAATAGCAGGAGGTTTCCCCTTCCATTCACCTCTATATTCCCCATTTCTATCCTATACGACGATCCATAGAAAGAGTTAAGTTATTGAAGCAATTGAGATTTTTATGAGATAAATACACATTGTGCAAATTGAAAACATTGAAATATGCAAGATAAGAAATTTTAGATTTTTGATAAAATGGATTTGATTAATGTATGAAATCTCAAGCAAAGAACACCATTTTACAGTTTGAAAAGTATGAAATTGGTAGATACCATTTATACCGTGCTCATAATAAATCCTCATTTTCACTCAGGAAGGCAGCCCAAAAGAATCAAACATAGATCCAAAAGAAAGCTATGATTTTGCAGTACATGCCGAGGTCGCCAGGAGGGATTATGGAGGACTATGGATGTTATCGAGACGGGAATTGAGAAATGAAAAAACGTACCGATTGAGAATTGAGAATTTTCTCTTGAACCGTTTCTTTGTTACTTTGTCCTTTTTTTTTTTTTTTTTTTTTTTTACTTTGTTCCTGTTTTTTTTTCTTTTTTTTTTTTTTTTTTTTTTCAGGTTAACTGTGAAAGATTAAAATTTACGGAATGTAAATAATTTTGGAAATTCGGACACTAATTTTAGAGTGTTTGATTTAATTTAAAAAAAAATTATAAATCAATAAATATTTGATGCATTAGTAACTGGACCAAAGACCCAAAACACAAAGGCAACTTTTGGGTGTGTATTTGTAGCTTCGGCCCGCCCAATAAAATGGTAGATTGAACCTGAACCGAATTTCGGTCCAAATATGCATCGTCCTTCAAATTCAATGCTACTATCCGCCGCTACTGCCTACTGGTCTACTGCCTTCTCCTGAAGTAAAAAGAAAGCGGCATCCATTTAACCATAAATTTCGTCCGAAGACAACCCCCTCTGCCGCTCTCCGGCAGCACCGGATGTCTGCTAAAGTTCGCCGCTTGGGCAACTCCCTCAAGGTACAATATTCTTTCCCTACCTCGTGTATTTTCACTCTCTTTTACCTCCCTAAAACCCTGAACATTCGTTTCCTACAAGTTAATTCTTATTCTTTGCACTCTTCCAATTGTAAAAGCTTTGATTATTTCCATCAGTTTTCACCTTTTTATTATTCCAATTCTAATTCTTTGAGTTATTTAAATTCCAATGAGCGACGAAAATTAGCTGTTGGACTATCTAAAATAATCAAACAACACAGAGGATATGTCTTGAAGGGATTTTCCCACAAATTTTGCCCTTATTTGCTAGTCAAGATCATGAAACTATTGCAATCTCGTCAATCCGCATTTGCATTTTTCAAATTCGTATTTCAAGATGACTCTGATGCTACAGTTCGGTCGTGTTGCATAGCTGCTCATGTCTTGGCTTCTCAGAATCTCCAGCTCCTTGCGCAAGATGTGATTTCCTGGGTTATTCGGGGAATTGGGGCTAGCAGGAGTAGAGACTTGGTGGAGCTTATGTGGGCTAATCACCATGAATATGAGTCGGATTTCTCCGTCCTTAATACGCTTATGCGGAGTTTCCTGAATGTGGAAATCAGTTACTTGGCACTGGAGATTCTGTCTAGAATGAGGGAGGTGGGTCTGAGGCCAAGTTCATCAGCAATCACAATTCTTGTCAAGTTGTTGCTTAGAGTTGGTGATTATGGTAGTGTGTGGAAACTATTTAGGGGCATGATTCGTGAAGGTCCTCACCCTTCTAGTTATCATTTCAATACTATGATTCTTTGCTTTTGTCAAAAAGGATATGTCAGGGTCGGTGAGAGTTTGTTGTATGTTATGCACAAGTTTAGGTGTCGACCAGATGTTTATACATATAACATTTTGATTAATGCATATTGTATGAGGGGAAGGACTTCAGATGCTCTTGGGTTGGTGTATTTGATGATAAAGAATGATTGTACACCGAGCTTAATTACCTTCAGCACAGTTATACATGCATTTTGCAATGAGGGAAAAGTGGTGGGAGCAAGGAAGCTTTTTGACAGGATACAAGAAGTGGGTTTTTCTCCAAATGTTACAATGTATAATGCTTTGATGAATGGATACGTTAAGGCAAGAGATGTTGGTCAGGCAACCATCTTGTATGAAGAAATGAAGAACAAGGGTATTGCTCCCGATGGCACAACTTTTAATATTTTGGTTGCAGCGCATTACAAGTATGGGAGAAAAGAGGACATTGACAGGTTGCTGAAGGATTTGTCAAATTCAGGTCTGGTTCCAGATTGTTCGATATATGATATTTCTGTTGCAGGGTTGTGTTGGGCAGGTCAGTTGGATGTGGCCATGGAACTTTTAGAAGATATGCTTGAGAAAGGAATACCTCTAAGCATAATTGCTTTCAACTCGGTAATTGCAGCTTATAGCCGGGCAGGATTAGAAGAGAATGCCCTTAAAGCATATAGAGTCATGGTTATGTTTGGTCTAGTTCCCTCTTCTTCAACATGCAGTTCTCTACTTTTGGGTTTATTAAAAAAGGGGAAACTGGAAGAAGCACGGGAACTCATGTATAAGATGATAGATAAAGGCTTTCGCATCAATAAAGTGGCTTTCACAGTGCTACTGGATGGATACTTCAAGGTAGGGGATACAGCAGGGGCTCATGGTCTGTGGTATGAAATGGAAGTGTGGGGGATATATCCTGATGTTGTTGCCTTCTCAGCATTTATTGATGGCCTTGCCAAAGCTGGTCATGTGGAGGAGGCATATGATGTGTTTTTAGAGATGTCTAGGAGAGGATTTGTTCCTAACAACTTTGCTTATAACTCATTGATCCATGGATTTTGCAACTGTGGTAAGCTGCATGAAGCATTGAAATTGGAGAAGGAGATGAGGCAAAAGGGTCTTCTTCCTGATATTTTTACAACCAATATCATCATTAACGGATTCTGTAAAGAGGGCAGAATGAAGTCTGCAATTGATGTTTTTACAGAAATGTATCGCATTGGGCTAACCCCTGATATTATCACTTATAACACATTGATTGGTGGGTACTGCAAAGCATTTGACATGGTTGGTGCGGATGAGTTTGTTGAAAAAATGTATGTTACTGGATGCAGCCCTGATATAACCACGTATAATATACGTATTCATGGATTCTGTAGTAGTCGGAAAATGAGCCGGGCTGTGATGATGCTGAATGAGCTTGTTTCAGTGGGTGTTGTTCCGGACACAGTAACATACAACACTATGATGAATGTTGTTTGTGCGGACGCACTGGATCGTGCTATGATTTTAACTGCAAAATTGCTTAAGATGGCTTTTACTCCGAATGTTGTTACAACCAATTTACTATTGTCTCACTTCTACAAGCAGGGGATGCCTAACAAAACCTTAATCTGGGGTCAGAAGTTAAGTGAGATTTCGTTTGCATTTGATGAAATTTCCTATAAAATTATGAATAGAGCCTACCTTAAGATACAAAACAATGCTAAACTGTTAAGAGCAACTTCTGAAAAGAGCCTGTTTCTGGATTATCTTATGTATATGACATATGACTATTTTCGTAGAAGCATACCTCACAAGAACACAAGTCAGGATCCACTTAAACTGACTGAAAATGGTTTAAGTCGATCATGAAAACTTACATATGGATAAGTTCTAGGACATCAGTTCATAAGTTCGTGAGGATCTTATGCTTTATTTTTGCGGCAATTGATTTTGATGCACCATTGCTTGATTTGGGGAGCTAGTGTTTCGTTTGAGATGGTGCTAGTGGATACTGGTTAAGGTATTGAGAAAAGCACTAGAAGACTGAAAAAAGAACGGGTCGAAGCCATTAAAAAATATGGCTGAGCTGAGTTCAGAGATGTTTTGGCATTGATGGATCAGAGTGACAGAAAAATACACACCCCCACCGTCATGCCTCGCAGATGAACTTTTAAAGTTTGATTTCTGTTGCTTATTAACTGGTGCTTCCTATATCTATGGTGAGGATGACCAGAGTATTGTCACTATCACAATGCGAGGCACTTGATTTTTGTTCATTACAAGACTCATTCATGTCCTTGAGCAACAATGATAATGAACAATCATAATCCTAATATGAAGTTCTCTTGGTAGGAATACAAGTTCATCGACATGGATCCATAAATGGAATGATAATTTGAATTGGCTCTAATTTCAATTTCTGGTCAGTGGCTCACATTGCGGCTGGTGGACTACTTGGAGCTATCGTGGTAGCTTTCTCTTTTTCTCCAACCGCGTGCATATATGTGTCTAACATAAAGATATCATTTCATGAATAGTCTTTTCCCCTGTTTTACGATTCTCATTGTTGTTTTAGGTTTGGAGACTATCAACAAGTATATTTGGAGACTACTGAGCATTTAAGCAGCTTACGGTAATGGTATATAAAATCTTGCTTGGATTTATTGAGATTATGAGTTGTGAGGCTTGGAAACATGACACATGAGCATTGTTTGGTTGTTGCCTGCAGATTATGTTTTGAGAATGAAGAAGTTGAATATACACTTGTTTTTATACAATGACCAAAACTAGAGAGATCTTCAGAGTTGTATCCTGTGAGACGCTAATGATCTTGCAGAGTTGCAGTTGCGCCATGAACATTTGCGGCAACCCCTTTCCGACAATCTTGAGGAACATGTGGATGAACGGAAAAGAAAATCTAAAATCCTCCAGCCTTAAAATTACAGATGTTTCCAGCAAAGAATTTTGTGGGCTTTTGAGATGTTTATAGGATCGGATGTTGATGTATTTTTAGATGAGAACTCCAATAATGAGCAGAGCGAAATGCTTTCTTCTTCTCTTCTCTTATCATTATTATTATTATTATTATTATTAAAATAGAAGGAAGAAAAATTATCCTGCTGGTCAGGCAAAAGAAGCCAAATAATTTTCAAAAAGGGAAAAGGCCATATGAATTTAATTTAAGCAAATTCTCATCGAGGATATTTGATGCATGCAAACAAAAAGATTATTTCTCTAGCCATTTGATTAAAAAAATGAACAGGTTTAGGTAACTTTGGCTCTCTGCATGATCATAAATCTCCTTCTGCTGGCGCTCTCCACCTGCTCGCCAAGTTTTGCCAGGTGGATCATCCTCCTCTTCCAAGATTCAGTGGCCTCTATTTTATTTGGCTTCTTACTAGACTCCACCGTTTCAGATAATGGCTCAAAACCTTGATTCGAAATGCTCCCATGTTCATCAGAATCTTGGATTATCTGAATCAAAGACTCCACTACCTCACTCATCTTTGGTCGATCCTTTGCACTCTTCAACAAACACGAGTCGGCTAACTTGGCCATCTTTCGAGCTGCATTTATAGAATACTGGTTTTCGAGTCGCGGGTCCATTATCAACCCAAATTTTTTACTATCAGGAGGGAACTGCTTTACCCACTCCAGTAACTTCTGCTCTGCTCTTGGCCGGTTTCTTTCTATAGATCTCCTCCCTGTAAGAATCTCGTATATTACCACTCCAAAGCTCCAAACATCGCTTTTGGTGGTGAGGTGTCCTGTTTCTATGTAATCTGGAGCAGCATATCCGTAAGTTCCCACTACCTGATCGTCAATCGTAAAATGATAAAATAGTTTAACATTTCTGCAAATAAATGGCAATTTTTATTCAAGTACATCAAAGACTCACTGCTGTTGAAACATGTGTTCGTCCAGCCACTGGCCCCTCCCTTGCAAGCCCAAAGTCTGAAAGCCTGGGCTTAAAGTTCTCATCCAATAAAACATTGGAGGATTTAAAATCTCGATATATAACCTGCATGAAATCATAAAACTTGAATCTTGGCCAGAACAATGCAAATGCAGATTCAAGCGGTAACTATTTTGTAAAAGAGGACCTGAACTTCCAAACCCTCATGTAGATAAGTCAATCCTTGAGCTGCTCCAGTTAGGATTTGTAATCTTGTTTGCCAAGCAAGTGCAGGGTCTGCCCTCTTGAAAAGGTGATCTTCTAAGCTTTTGTTTGGCATAAATTCATAAACAAGTAGTCTCTGGATTCCTCTTTCTCCATCCACAGCACAATATCCGATCAGTTTGACAAGATTTGGATGCTCCACCACTCCTAGAAATTGAACTTCTGCCACCCATTGTTTATGACCCTATAAATAACAATATAACAAGATAAACGCCCACATTACTTGAATTAAATTAAACTATGACTATGGGATGATACCTGTAAGCCCTCTCTGTTAAGCTTTTTAATTGCCACTACTACAGGGTCACCGTTTCCACCGGCAGGCTTGATTGAACCTTTATAGACCATTCCAAAACCACCTTCCCCAATCTTTAGTTGTCTGCTGAAATCATTTGTGGCACGTCTGAGCTCTGAGAAGGAGAATTCTCGCAGATTATGCGCTCTCTCCTCGTATAATTGGGGGATTCCAGGCGTTGAAGTTTCTGAGCATGAGGATTTGGCAATCCTATGATTATCTGTGTCTGTTTTCCTCTGCTCTTTCAACTCCGGTGCTGATCTTTGTTGCCTGCTCTTGTTTCTGTCCTTGAAGTAGTGAAAACACTTCATTTGACCACGATTTTCCAAGATTTTGGCTATCAACAAAGAGACCAAATTAGGCAGAAGAAATCAAGCAAAACCCACAAGGAAAACAGAAGAAACGTGCATAAGCAAGAGAACAGAGAGAAGAAGAAGGTAAACGAAGAGGGTTGATCAAATGAATTACCTAACAAAACATAGTATTTTATTGCGGTTGTAGTAGTTTGTTCTCCAAGGAGTTGGTTTGGTGGGAGGGGAAGGGGAAGAGTCTCACCGTCTCGAAACAGAAACGGAAACAGAAGGGTTTTGAGTTGGACAATAAGTTAGGCTTAAGCCTGTCTTGATTTACGCGCAGAACTTAGAACTAAATGGGATCGGACCCATCAGTTAATGATTTGACAAGTGTCGATGGGCCCAAAAACCAAAATTAGCATCCTGAGCAGTAGCACTATTTTTTCTTTTCTTCAATTAATTAATCATATTTATATTAAAACATCAAGCCGCTTAATCAAACTAAAGGATTAAGGAAGCTTTAATTTCAAATTAGTAAGGGTAATTGTTTAAATCTAGAAAGTCAGACATGCACATGACCTTGAGTTTGGAAATTAATGTTACCTATTTCCACACGAATTGGATCTAAGGAAACTGCCACTTCAAAGCTCTTCTCTTACAACGAGAGATATGCACAATTTGCTTTTAGATTCTGTAAGTGTTAATTTGTTACTACTTGCAAGTTCTTTAATGAAAATGGTTGACCAAGTCAAGGGTTGTCAAAAATAACTACTCGTAACCATCTCTCTCCTATGTGTTTGGACTGTGATGGATATATGCAACCCTTCTCAGTACCTATTACTAACAATAACATTAGTATTAATAAGCAATGATGGACCGTGCCTTTTATTTATTTATTTATTTATATATTTTATTTTGAGTTAAGTCGCCATCTGGGTCTTCTCCTTCTCTTGCTGCCAAAATGGGTCTCTCTGTATCTGATACATCTCTCCACCAACAAATATAGGGCCACGAGGGGACAGTAATGATGCAGCACTAGTCTCGTTGACTAAAATTTATAAGCCAACTAATGTACCTAAAGTCAACACAAGTATTAATAACTTCCATGCAAAAAAAGATACTACTAAAAAATAAAAATTCAGTTGTCAGACAAACTTCACTGTCAAAACTAAAAAACTTCGAATGGCAAATGGATTAGTTGACCTTGGCTTGTCAAAGTGCTAAAAGATGCTGGCGGTTAGGATAATACGTACCTCGTATGATTTTAACTCATACATGACTAATATTATTAAAGATGTCCTGGTGTCAGCATTTGAGACCACCTTTTAAAACACAAATTCTGAAAGCCTCCTGAATGAAGGTTAAGATACATGAAATTATATAGAAATGTGAAGCTACAAAAATTTTCTATCTAGCGCATGAAAAATCAGCACTCTCAGCAACAGTATAAACATCACCCTAAGCATCAGGTAGAATTCATGATCCATTTCAGCTGCCATAACCATGAGTAAATCATTGCCAATCCACAATATGTAGAAATTAACATAAGGGGTACAAATGGAAGCTTGTCACCAAGGAGATAAGGATGCAAAAACTGATTCCATATTTCAATAGCCAAAAGGCCACATAGGTAACATTTCCCAACCCATCCAATAAGGATGCCTCCTTTAACATTAATGGTGCTTGAAGTTCCGGATGAACCCAATCGTGCACCTCCTATCTTTGCTGATATGACCGTTTTGGCTGCTTCATCCTTGCTGAATCGTGCAGAGAAGCTGTACCACATTAAAATGGAGTGTAATACCAACAGCAGCACTTTAATAGGATACTCCTGAGCCTCATATAGAAGTGGAAACAATGAGTAGCAAGATGCTGCATAACATATAAAGTATCATATTCTCTATCAGTTTATAGAAATGCACTTTAATGCCGACATGCTTGTTAAGAGAAATTACCAGTCCAAGAACATGGATATCATATTCTGCCTAACAAAGATTGAGAATGTCATTCGGTAACTTGCTAGAAGACTTTTAACAGATATGAGTTTGGCAAGAGTGAGAATACCTATAGAAAGCAAGAAGTAATGCCTTGCATCTTCCATGCTCTCCACAGCAACAACAGCCAAGGGGATGATAAAGTGGAGTGATGCTTTTTCATGTACATGCCACCCAAATAAAAAGCCGCATGTATAAGCATAAGCAATCCATCTGGTAAACAATCCTGGTTGGGGATTCTTCCAAGCCTTTACAAGGCAAGGAAATAAGGCAAGCAATACCATGCTTAAGGTTGCCAAGGGACTGATCTGCCATTTGATAAATTTAGACTTAAAACATGGTCTTTCTGATGCTTTGAGAGTCAAATTAGAAAAGAACAATCAAATATCATCGAAGTCAATTTCCAGATATCAATTCCATAATTAATTGACCAGTTGTATTTAGCAGAACCATATTTCCAATTGGCATGACTCAAATGATATTATCAATTGCATCAGGTTAATTAGGGGTATTACTAGTATCAGACATCCTTGTGTAGACTTACCTTAGGAAGCACAGCAAAAGGTGGTGAATCCCCCACCAGCCCACTAGTAAATGATGCTGACGATGCTTGGATGTTTAATCCAAGTTTTCTGAAAACAATAGCTAGGCCTTTATCTAATATAATATAGAATACCCAAAAGTTTGGGGCCCAGTATGCATGGCAGAGTCCCCTGCCAAAAGGAAACATACGGCTGATAACTTGTTGTATCTGCAAAGTAGAAATTTTATGTGAATGAATGCACCATGCAAAAGTATTAGAAGAGGGATGGCTTTAGCTGTTCGTGAACAAATTATATCTACAAAAACATTAGTATGTATATCTGTGAAGCAGAAATAATTAACATATCGTCACTTGAACTAGTGATTTTCCTGTATCATGGATGCTATGCTACATCTGCAACAGCAACTGTGTGGTGTGCACATGAGCGAGAGAGAGAGAGAGAGATTATTATAACACAAAATTATCTTACAAGGACCATGTACATCACACATTCAATTTAAAGACAACTGAATCACAAGTTAATTAACTGGCAAGGAGACCTGAATTACCTGCCCATGATAGAAAAATGGACCATATGCAGCTGCAAAAACCACCATGACAACAGACCCCATAGCTGAAAGGCGCCCAAAACCCCCCCATAAACCTTTCCAGCAATAATGCCTCAACAAATAGACAAAGTAAATTGGAGCAGCCACTGCAAACAAATGCTTCAAACATAACAAAATAGCAAAAATGAAGCCACCAATCAAATCCCTTCCTTCTTGCAAGTAGGAAATGGACAACATCAACAGTCCTAACAAAAATCCATTGTACTGAAAATGCATAGAGTCCACAATTATAAGTCCTGGGGACCAAACCACCAATACCCACATTAAAATTCTTCTCCTAGACTCCAATTTTTTTGTCAATCTGTAAATTCCATAGAGAAGACACAAATCTGAGATAATCACACTGATCCTTTGGAAATAGATTACTGTGTTTGATTTATAACCAAGGCCTCTGTGGATATCAACTATTTGGGGGTCAATGAAATAGGCAAAGAAGGACAGAAAATATTCATAATAGGCAAAGAATGGAGGGTAATCAAGAGTCCAGGGGCTGGTCTCATCGAAGTACCACTGAGAGAGAGGGAGGGTGTGGGTCAAAGCCAGCCAATGTCGATGGACTTCAAAATCTGTGCTGTGATATGATGGGATCAGTAGGAGCTTTATGCATGCTGTTATGCCAAAGAACCACAAGAGCTGTTGTGAGATGGTGTATTTGGCATGCATTTGAAGTTCTCGACCTTCCATGGTTGAAGCCAATTAGCTGAGAATGAAAATGTGGAAATGGAGAATCCACTAATTCCAATTGTGGTTTCACTTGAATTGACCCAAAATACAAGTAGGGTTGGTCCAATATTTGAACCCAATAACTGCTTGCAAATGTTAATAAGGTCAAAACTACTGTATTAAGAAAAATAATAATCTGGGAAGGAGAATTGTCAGAAAATTTGCAATAGCGTAAAAAGGCCTTCTCAGTCTGCATCAAGAAATTATATTAAAGAAGAATAACAAATATCAGATGAGAACTCCATAAAACATCCGAACTCTAGTAGAGAAGAAAGCAAAAGAACACATAATAAACATAGCATTTTGGTTTAAATTCAATGTTCTTCTGATATAAATATCCTAGTTCAGCATAGTATGTTACAGAAATTGATCAATTCAAAAATGCCAAATAGTTTCTTCTACGATTTTAAGAAAATACAATATCATCTTCTGTTTCTTACAAAAGCAACATTTTTCCCCCTTGTTTGTTGTTATGATTGTAATTTTAACCAGAAGATTAAGGTTTTGTGTACCCCATAGTCCTTGATACACGAACAAGAGTTAAAGGAATTTCATGTTCGGTATGAATGAGAATGCTCAATCTTAGCAGCACAAATTCAATTTCAGGGTATTTAACACAAATGGCTGAAATTCTATATTAACAAACAGATTCCATACTTGAAATTGATTTTACGAGATAGGGTGGGGGCAAAACTCTAGACAGGATGGATTTGAAGGTAGATGACAAAGGACTCTCAGTTAGCAATACAATTGACCCTCCAAAAATGTGAAACTGAATCAAAACTAGCAGAAGTCAGTGCTCAATGCTTTTCAGAGCCCCTACAGTTCCAAGGAAATGTACAAGTCAATTTACAGCTTTCACTAGAAATATAAACTACAAAGCTTGTTCCTCAACTTTCTTTTTACATAAAAAATAAACGTACCAATCGAAGGCCCTGATTTATAGTTTTCAAAAAGTATATCGCAAGATTTCAACGGCCATATTTGGGGGGCGGGGGGAGTGAACAGAAGCAAAATCATCTAATATGCATTTATTTGTTTCTTTTTTCCTCTGGAAATTATGGGAAAATGAGAATGAGAATGAGAAAAAGAGAGTGAGAGAACTTACGTTTGACATAGGCAGCATACTGAGGAGACGGCGATGCCATTTTCTACCACTAGAGAGAGTAATTCACTTCGGAAGTAGGGAAATTCTGGTTTTTTATTTTTAAAGTTTTGTTGAAGGGAGAAGAGAAGACAGTTGGATTTTTCGGAGTCTAACGGGCTTTTATATAAACAATAAACAATGACAAACTGTGGGCTCAGAAAGTGTTGGGCCCAGCCAGTAAGTATTCCGGAGCCTGGAATGAAGGGTACCACTGCTTCCCTAAAATCGGATATGAAAAGCAATAATAATAAGGTACTTAAGCTACGAATACGATCACCATCATTAATAACAATTTTTAATTTGTAGATTGTAAAATATATACATTTATTTATAAAAATTAAATACATTTATTTTAAACATATAAAAATAGTAATTTGAGGCGGTTATCAACAAGTCAACAACATAGTTGCTAACAATAGTGATGATGATTATGGTTGGCAATTTTATATATTGTTATTTACAAGTGTAGAATTCAAATATTTGTTATAAATTGTACTTTATACATTGAAACATTTAATACAAAGCATACTGTAATGTTATAATAAGGCACGGTCAATTTTAATCATTAATAATAAAAAGCTAATTATTAATTTAAAGGTTTTGATATTTAATTAATAAGTTTTTATACATTATTCAATGTACAAAATACTTTTTATTTGTAATTTAAGTGTATTACATTAAGCTCTAACTTAATTGACTAAAAAAATTTATAATTGGCAGTACTTAATTACACAATTCCAAATTAGAAAGGATTAATAATAACAAAAGCAGCGGCGGTAGCTATCCTAATGGAGATTGTTGCGGCGGCGCGTGATGATAGAACGCAAAGGTGTGTTGGTTGTAGAGGAAGGTCGGTGACACCACAGTGAAACGAAAAGGTAAAGAATTTAAGAAAGGAGAGAGTAAAAGAGAGAAGCGAAGAGCACTGAGAACCCGCGACCCATTCGATTTCGATCTCCTAAAAAACCTACCTTTTGACCACCTCGGCTGGTCAGTTTGTTACCCTTTCTCTCTCTAAATTAACTCTCTCTTACCAAAACTCTCCCATTTGTTGCCTCTCTCTCTCTCTCTCTCTCTCTCTCCCCCTCTTCCTTTCTTTCTTTCTTTTTTTTTTTTTTTTTTTCTCTCTCTCTCTTCTCTCTTCTCTCCCCCTCTTCCTTCTTTCTTTCTTTTTTTTTTTTTTTTTTTTTAAATTTTTTTTTTTTTTTTTTTTTTTTTAAATTTTTATTTTTCTTCTTCCTACCTCTCTGTCGCTGAGCATGGTCATGACCGTCCATTAAAACCCTAATCTTCCTATCTACACTCTACACTCCACAGGTACCTCAGCTGTCCCTCCCTAATTAATGAAGACCAAATTGCGCATTTTCTCTTATGATTATGATTTTGATTTTTCTGTTTGGTGCGATTGTATTTTTAGTGGATCTGTTCTCCTTGCAGAGAAACCAAAACGAAAAAGGGGATTAAAGCGTACGAATATATGTCCTTCAATCAATCAAGGTCGGATAAGAGCGACACACAGTATCGGAAATCAGGACGATCCGCAGGCTCTAATCAGCAGCGGACTTCCTCAGGTGCCTACGGTAAGGGCGGCGGCGGCGGGCCCGCCCCTGCACCGTCATCTTCTTCTATTCCTTCCAATCGGAGGTATTCGTTTAGGGTTTCTAACTTTGGCCTCTTTTTAATTCTAATAATTTAGGGTTTCTATTTGTTCTAGTCTTCTACGTCTTGTTTTTTTATTTTCTAATTTTGATGATAGTTTTAAGAAGTCTAATAATGCTCAAGGAGGGCAATCCAGGATAAACGTACCAGCTGCTAATTCTTCCGATTCTGCGCCCCGCACTGTACAGAATGGTGCCCATGTACAGCCTCCATTACATGGTATTGTTTGATCAGACAGCTGTAACTTCTTATGTTGAAAGCCTTTGTCTTCAGTATTTGTTTTGTAATTTCTGTGCAAAATCGTTTGGATTCTATAACATAAAATGCGGCGCTTTGGCCCCATTAAGTTGGTTTTGAACTGTTGCAATTCTTTTGTTAATTTTGTGACAGGAGCATCTGATGCACCTGTTTCAATTGGTAATGTCAAGCCAAATGAAACGCCAACCCCTCAGAGGGGCAGCCGAGCTGTTCCAAAGGTTCCAACTTCTCAATCTGCCTCCCTAAGCTCTGAGACACCATTACCTACAACACCTGCAAAAGGTTTTTTTTTTTTTTTTTTTTTTTTTTTTTTCTCAAATCTGAACCTCCCTAAGCTCTGAAACACCATTACTCTTACAACACCCTGCAAACAAGCTGTTTTTTTATTTATTTTTATTTTTTTTTTTTTGTGCTTCCGAGTCTAAATGTTAATATAGTGCGTAAAATTCTGGTGATGTGTTTGTTAGTTTTAGAAGTATTTCGTAGTGGCCAGCAAGGCACTATTAAAGGTCGTATCATTACAAATGTGTGAGTTTTTTTGTGACATTAGCCCCTGGAGAGCATCTAAGGCGATTCCCATTATTCACGTTTTGGGTCATTCTGAGTCCTGCCGGTTTCATGAATGGGATGCAGTAATTTCTCTCTTTCATCATTGAATGGAAACTTTTTCTACTATGTTCTTATATATTTGTGACGATAATTATTGTCTGTCTACCGATTCCAAGCCTCGAAACAAGTACTCAGCGTCTGTCACAAATTTGGATATGAGCCAAAAAACGCGACATAAGTCTTGGTATCTTACTGTACTCTTTCATGTCATGCTTTATCATGGGTAACCAGTGTGATTATAAGTGTGTCAATCTTGCCGGATGAGTGTGATACAGTGACTTATTTCTTGCATAGTATATTTCGATATAGTGTCCTTTAATAATTTGACATTTAAAACCAAATGTCCATATTATGGCATACCTGAATCAATCTCTCTGGACTCTTGGATGTCTATACAGTAATTAGTGAAGTGGAAACACTGTTCATGTGTGTTATAGCTGATTTTGCCATGTTTTATTTTTTTCTGGATTAATAAAGTTATTGTAGTTGTATATTTTTTAAATTTCAGGTCACGCCATGATTGCGTTTGTATCTGTCTTTCCGCTTGCCAACACCTGCTCCTACGGTGCAAAACAATTGCCAAAAGAGGATGTAGGTGCTGTTGACCAAATCTATTTGCTGGTGAGGTTATCAACTCCCAAAGCTCAGAAAAGGATTTTCAAGATCTCAGCTGCACCGCATGTGAGTCAGAACACAGAAGTCTTCTGTTTCTCCTCCCAACTCCTGATGTCTGTCCGATGCAAAATGCCATTTCAACTCCCAGCCTCAGTGTCAGGGTGCAGTTTTGGTGCCAATACCGCACAGAGTTCAGTCTCAAGCCTGCTGACCACCAAAACTCCCTTTCAGGTCTTCTATGCCGGATGGCAGGCAATATCTACCCGATGGGAAATGCGCCCCCCAAGTTTCAACAGCCAAGATAGTTTGTTCAAGTCTTCAAACCCCATCCAATGCAAGCCTCAAGGAATCATGCATATTCAGGCAGGGCCAGGGGCGTTGAGTTTTACTCCACCCAAATTGGGGCACACAAATTCCACCTCAAATGACTGGCGGAACTTGGGAATGGGAATCACACCACAATATCGCTACGAACAACAGGATGCGTGGGAAGTTTGGTCTTGGTCCTCGTAAGACAATACTGTCAAGGATTTATCTGATCCAAAGGACTCATGAAGAACTGAGGACTGATAGGCGAACTGAGTACATATACCAGATCAAGGATTGGATCATCTTAGCCTTAGAATCTCACCCGTAACATCCCACCTCATCATCTACAGCCCATTGACTCCCCGTTTCATGTTGCCCCAACTCATCCAATCAGTTATGTACCCCGAATTCCGTACTAATCCAACATCTATTTTGTTCATATCTCAAGGCTCCCTCCTATGACAATGTGTTCTCTACAATAGCACTCCATGATCTGCAAGTCCATCTAGGTTTTATACTATTCTGTTACTCTCTAAGTGCCTCAAAATGTCATCATGTTGTATAAATTCCATCCTGCCCTGTTGAGTCTTCTCTTGCCGGGCTTAACAAGTCTTGGATTCAATTCATGGTGGTGATATCGTAGCTGAACACTCACACACACACACATCTCGATGCATGCTCACATAAGTATTCGACATCTCTACTTCTGCCAGGAAAAGTACAGGTGTTTAAAGTGATAACCGAGCAAGCTTAGTTCTGTTGGGAGAGAAAGGTTGCACACACTCTCACTCACAAATAGTGGTTTCACTCCACTGTTTTTTGAGGATAGGTTGTTGGTCTCACGGTTAAAAACTTCTCAAGGGCCTGAGTGTGAATTTCACTTCATCTCATCTTGCAGAAGGTACTCAGTAGCGTATGATTGTCGTCTCTATTATGTTCTTTACACACTCTAAAAACTGCTCTCTGTTATAGAGCATCTTCTAACGTCCAAAGTCTGAGTCGCTCGAGTTGCATTAGACAACCTTGCTCTCCGTCGGTGTGGAGTGGTGTGCGTACGTGTGTGATGAGTGTTGGTGTCTGTTCTTCACACCACTTACCTGCTCAATCCGAAGGAATCAATAGTTTCTTCACTAGACTATCTACTAACTGAAAGGGCAAAACGAAAGGTAAATCTGGAAGATTTAGGGCTGTAACCTTCTATCAATACTGATTCAATCTCAGAATGAATTGCCAGGTATATATCTATTGTTCCATCTCCCATACAAATCAGAGGTAACTTGCACTGATAACTAAATGGCTAGAATCTCTTTTTCTATTTTAATTATGCAATTCATTAGTTAAGACTGATTTTAATCCTGCACGTTGGATTATTTTGCCTTGTGGATAGATTGCGTGGACAATCTACATGCAGTGTCAAGCCTATTCTTCTCCGCACTGTCGAGAACTGGGGTGTATCTTCTAACCGTGGAGTATCTGGAAACTTGGTTTAGAAACTAAAACAGACTCTTACCTCCATCATCAGTAATTAATGAACGACTGTATCAGAAAACTCCAGGAATCTCTCATCATATAGTTCAGTTGTCAGCATCCATTACAGTCTGATGTTTCTAAGCCAAGACTCGTTTGATTCTGGAGGAACATATTGGTTGGTTATTC